AAAAGAAACAGACCACGATATCGTCAGTGGAGGCCATGTCGACATCGTTCGGGTAGAAGAGTGAAGCTGCTGCAGGCGGGGACACTGGAGCTGCAGTGGGCGTGGCAGGAGCAGCGGGCGTGGCAGGAGCGACAGGAGCAGCAGCAGCAGCGCAGCAGGAGCGGCGGGAGCAGCAGCGGGCGCGGCAGGAGCGGCGGGAGCAGCAGCGCGAGCAGTAGCGAACGCAGCACGAGCACGAACAAGACGGGGAATCCTAAAAGCAGTAGCAGGCAGGGGCCTGGCGGGAGCAGCAGTGGGCGCGGCAGGAGCGGCGGGAGCAGCAGCGGGCACGGCAGGAGCGTGGGAGCAGCAGTGGGGCGCGGCAGGAGCGGCGGGGCAGCAGCAGTGGGCGCGGCAGGAGCACGAACGAGACGAGGAATCCTAAAAGAAGGCAGGCAGGGCCGGCGGGAGCAGCAGTGGAGCGGCGGGAGCAGCAGCGGCAGGAGCAGCAGGGCGCGGCAGGAGCACGAACGAGACGAGGAATCCTAAAAGAAGTAGCAGGCAGGGGCGTGAAAGGAGCAGCGGCGGGAGCAGCAGCGGGCACGGCAGGAGCGGCGGGAGCAGCAGTGGGCGCGGCAGGAGGCACTGGAGCAGCGGGCGGGAACGTCGGAGCTGCAGGTGGAAACATATCAGCAGCAGGCAGAGGCAGTTTATATATATTTGTTTTTGTTTGTGTGTGTTTTTGAGTGTTTGTGTGTTTAAGGTGTGTGTTTGTTAACGTGCTTTTGTGAGTGTGTTTGAGTGTGAATCTTTGTGTGTGTGTGTGTGTGTGTGTGTGTGCCTGTGTTAGTGTGTGTTTGTGTGAATTTGTGTGAGCGTGAGTCTGTGGGTGTTTGTGTTAGTGTGTGCTAGTGTGTGTTAGTGTGTGTTAGTGTCTGTTGGTGACTTGGACTTAGATGAGAGGTCCTGTGCTGGAGGTCTGGGTGTCTGGGTGTCTGGGTGTCTGGGTGTCTGGGTGTCTGGGTGTCTGGAGGTCTGGTGGTCTGGGTGTCTGGTCTGGGTGTCTGGGGTCTGGGGTCTGGGTGTCTGGGTGTCTGGGTGTCTGGTGTCTGGGGTCTGGGTGTCTGGGTGTCTGGGTGTCTGGAGATCTGGGTGTCTGGGTGTCTGGGGTGTCTGGGTGTCTGGGTGTCTGGGTGTCTGACTGGGTGTCTGGGTGTCTGGGTGTCTGGGTGTCTGGGTGTCTGGTGGGGTGTCTGGGTGTCTGGGTGTCTGGGTGTCTGGAGTCTGTCTGGGTGTCTGGGTGTCTCCGGGTGTGTCTGGGTGTCTGGGTGTCTGGGTGTCTGGAGAGTGTCTGGAGGTCTGGGTGTCTGGGTGTCTGGAGATCTGGGTGTCTGGGTGTCTGGAGTGTCTGGGTGTCTGGGTGTCTGGGTGTCTGGGTGTCTGGGTGTCTGGGGTGTCTGGAGGTCCTGGGTGTCTGGGTGTCTGGGTGTCTGGAGGTCTGGGTGTCTGGGTGTCTGGAGATCTGGGTGTCTGGGTGTCTGGGTGTCTGGGTGTCTGGGTGTCTGGAGGTCTGGGTGTCTGGGTGTCTGGGTGTCTGGGTGTCTGGGTGTCTGGAGGTCTGGGTGTCTGGGTGTCTGGTGTCTGGGTGTCCTGGAGGTCTGGGTGTCTGGGGTGTCTGGTGTCTGGAGGTCTGGAGGTCTGGGGTGTCTGGGTGTCTGGGTGTCTGGAGATCTGGGTGTCTGGGTGTCTGGGTGTCTGGGTGTCTGGGTGTCTGGGTGTCCGGGTGTCCGGGTGTCCGGGGACCTGAAGGCCCGGGGGCCTGGAGCAGTCGTGGCCCTTGGCTCACACAGACCTGTGGGAACAAACATTTGTGTCAGACACCAGAACTAACAGGACGCACATACAAGAGTACAGCAAACCTAGAGTACTAGTGTACTAGTTATGTTTTTGACAAAAAAGTTTAAAATAAAAATATTAATTACAAAAATTACAATTTTTAGGGTATATACCGCTTAAAGATAGACAGTTTGTTAAGTCAAAAAAGGCAGATTTTTGTACTTGATTTTCCGATGTAATCAGTTTCATCATTTTTTTTGAGTAGTAGTAAACAGTTTAAATCTGATTTTGTCTATGTTCAGGAATCTCACTGTATTATAAATGACCCTACTTTTAGGAATTTTCAGTGGGGGTAATACAACTGTTGGGCAAGTTACTTCAAAACTGTAATTCGTTATTTATGACTTGTTACTGTCATTTCAAAGTAATCCATTACATTACAATATTACTGCATTTAAAATGTAAGACATTACATGACTACTGCAGCACTTTTAAATAACTCTCACCAAAATAACTGAACCAGGACTAGGACCAAACAAGGTATAAACCAGATATAAACCAGGACCAGAGCTGAACCAGAACTGAACCAAGACTAAACCAGGTCTAAAACCAGAACTGAGCCAGGTCTGAATCAGGACTAAACCGGGACTAAACCAGAGATGAACCAGGACTAAACCGGGACTAAACCAGAACTAAACCGGGACTAAACCAGAGATGAACTAGGACTAAACCGGGACTAAACCGAGACTAAACCAGGACCAAACCAGGACCAAACCTACGCGGGTGCACCTCCGGCGCTTAACTGCTGCTGATATTAGCTAATTTGTATGAAGAGAAACGAAAAAGCCACCACTTCAACCCAGGTTAAAAAAGCTTTGTAACGCGTGTTACTGACATTTGTACCTTGTCAGATATTAATTTCCCCCCCCCTTCAATGCCTTACAGTACTGCGTTATAGCAAAAAGCAATGCATTACAGTATTCGTTACTTTTAGTCACAAACCTCTGGCTTTTTCGTCCCAAGAGAATTGTAGTCCGAGTCAGGGGGCGGCCAGAAGCAATCTGTGTAGAAATATCCCGAAGATCAGTCTGGTGTAGATAAATATCCTGAAATGAAGTTTAGGAGCGCAGTTTGTGATCTCGATCGAGGGTTTGCAAAGTTTGCAATGTTTGAAAGATGCACATAGCAACAAAGATAGCAACAGTGCGCACGTGCGCACTTACGTAAGCACGCTGGCGTCTTGGCGCGTTCTACGCAGTCCCTAAGCTTCATGCAGACAAAATTATGTTTTTTTGTTTTTGTTTTTTTTAAAGGGAATTAAACACTTAATTCCTAATGATTATTCGGAATAAAATTTTAATCCGAATTATTAAATTATTTATTCCAATTTTAAAGCCAAATTAATTTATTCCACGGTCATGTAAACGTTTGTGTTTGTTTGTGTCCCCGTACTTCTGTTCCCCGGTGCCTATGTAATTGTGAAAGGCACCGATGTCACGTTAACACCGCGAGCCGTCCTCATCCCAAGTTATCATCATAAAACAGCAGCATGCAGCTAACTTTACACAACTCACCTCACATCAGCAGAAGCACTGAGTTCGGGTAACAGCAGATAGCAAAAAGTACCCGTGGCGGGTCCTGATACTAGTAGGGCAGCTTGTTGCCGGAGTCCACAACTTAGTCTAATGACAGTCTAACCTATGCATCGCAACGGCAGCGTATTGCTGACGATCACGAGTCGTCGCCTATTATAAGCCTGCCGCTCGACGATCTAAATCATATCATGATATATCATATCATGTCATATCAATCTCTGTCTGTACATGGTGCCGAATACAACAGATCGACTGATAGGTCGGTTGGTAGCCTATAGAGCGGCGGGTTATGTCTGCGGACCACAGGCTGTAAAGTTGTGAGCGCGATCGCGTCAGCTGTTTCCTGTCTGCAGTAAAATCATTCGCCACTGCACTTCTACATCGGCTCATATGATAGGCTATATATGGGAGCACAAAGTTTATATACCGATTCCCCGCAACGCTGCCAATACGCCATTATTATACAAACAAACGCTAAAGTGTCCTCCATCAAAACTGAGTGTGAAATGAATGAATAATGAAAGTGCTTTGGCCGTCTCTTGACCAAATTTTGCTCAAGATGGTTCCCCAGATGATGCCTTTGGATCCTCGCAGCTTGTAAAGTTCTAGGTTGCTGCACTGAAGACCTCCAGCAGTAAATTCTACATCTAATGATTATTTGATCTATTAATACAAGTTTTTCCTTTAACATTCATCTCAGTGCAGTGCAGTTTGTGCAGAGCATATCTGACCGCTGTAATGAGTGTGGAACAGCACAAGCACATATGTGAACGTCTGAGGGCATGTTATTGTAATATAAGAGCAGAGCAGAGGTGCAGACCGAAGAAGAGAAAGAAATGAGAGAGAAAGCGAGGAGGGGAGGAGGAGGAAGAAGAAAAGAGGAGGAAAAGGTGAAGAGGAAGAGGAGAGAAGGAAAAGAGAAGTTTAGGATGCGAGGGAGGTGGGAGGAAGGGAGAAGGTGCAGAGGAAGAAGAGAGGAGGGCAGGAGAACAAGAAGAGGGAAGGAAGAGAAGAGAGAGGAGGAGAGGATTAGAAGAAAAAGAGAGGAGGGGAGGAGGAGGAGATGAAGAAGAGAGGAAGGAGAGGAGGAGGAAAAGATGAGGGGAGAAGCAAGAAAGGAGAAGACGGGAGGAGTATTAGAAGAACAAGAAGGGAGGAGGGGAGAGGAAGAAAGGAGAGGAGGAAGAGAGGAAAAAAGAAAAAGGAGAGGAGGAGGAAGAAGAAGAGAGGAGGAGGAGAGAAACAAGAGAGGAAGGAGACGAGGAGGGGAGAAGCAGGAAAGGAAGAATACGGGGGAGGAGGAGAGGAAGAAGAAGTGAGGAGGAGGAAGAAGAAGAGAGGACGAAGAGAGAAACAAGAGAGGAAGGAGAGGAAGAGGAAAGGGAGAGGAGAGGAGAGGAAGGAGATGAGGAGGGGAGAAGCAAGAAAGGAAGAAGATGGGAGGAGGAGAGGAAGGAGAAAGGAGGGAAGGAGGAGGAAGAAGGGAAGAAAGAGTGGAGGAGAGGAAGAGGGGAGAAGCAAAAAAGGAAGATGACATGGGAGGAGGAGATGAAGAAGAGGAAAGAAGGAGAAAAGGAGGAGGAGAGAAGAAGAGAGGAAGGAGAGGAGGAGGAAAGGAAGAAGAGGGGAGAAGCAAGAAAGGAGAAGACAGGGGAGGAGTAGGAGAAGAACAAGAAGGGAAGAGGACGAGAGATAGAAGGAGAAAGCAGAGGAGGAGGAGAGAAAGAAGAGAGGAGAGGGAGCGGAAAAAACGAGGAGAGGAGGACGGGAGTAGTAAGAAAGGAAGAAAAGAGGGGAGGAGTAGGAGGAGAGGAGCAAGAGGGGAAGAGGAGGAGAGGGAGAGGATGAAAAGAGGAGAGGAAGAAGGGAGTAGTAAGAAAGGAAGAAAAGAGGGAGTAGGAAGAGAGGAACAAGAGGGGAGGAAGAGGAGAGGCAGAAGGGTGAGGAGGAGAAGGGGAGAAAGAAGAGAGGAAGAGGAAAGGAAGAAGACGGGGAGGAGTGGGAGAACAAGAAGGAAGGAGGACGAGAGGTAGAAGAAGAAAGCAGAGGAGGAGGAACAAAAGAAGAGAGGAGAGGAGAGGGAGATTTAGAAAAGAGAAGAGGAAGAGGGAAGTAGTAAGAAAGGAAAGACAGGGTAGGAGTAGGAGGAGAGGAACAAGAGGGGAGGAGGAGGAAAGGAAGAAGAAAAGATTGCCTGGAGGAGAGGAAGGAGTGAGTGAGTGAGTGGAGGAGGAGAAGAAGAGAGGAATTTTCCCCTCAGTAAAAGTGTAGGTCTCGTTATGAGCGTGAAAGAGGAGCTCCTGTTTCCTTCAGCTGCTGTGAAAAAGCCTCATAAAACTTGACCAAGGACTTTCCACACACAGGAGGAAGAACGACACTTAAACAGACTTTAAATACTTTATCACTTCATCTACTCTCTCCATCTCCAGTGTTGGGGAGTAACAGATTACATGTACCAGAGTTATGTAATCAGAGTACAAATTATGAGTAACTGTATTCAGTTACAGTTACTGTTTCAGTGAGTGGTAATTAGATTACAGTTACTTTGTTGAAATAAATGGATTACACGGCGGTATTTTCCTGTTTTCACATTTTGGGATAAACCAGGACTAAACCAGGTCTAAACCAGGACTAAACCAGGTCTAAACCAGGTCTAAACCAGGTCTAAACCAGGACTAAAACCAGGACTAAACCAGGACTAAACCAGGACTAAACCAGGTCTAAACCAGGACTAAAACCAGGACTAAACCAGGGCCAATTTGAAGAGAACAAACAAGAATTTTCAGGATGTGGTTGGTACATCCATGTAGTTTAAAAAAAAACATGACAATATCAAGTAATCCAAAGTATTCAGATTATGTTACTCACTTTAAGTAATTTAATGGATTCCGTTACAAACTACATGTTGGTGTATGTAATCTGTAATCTGTAGGGGAATACATTTTAAAAGTAACCATCCCAACACTGTCCATCTCTAAAACGTGTCGGCTGTATTTTTGTACTTTTTAATAACTTCAACTATCGACGTCAGCCGATTTAAAATGGAAAAAGACAATCATTTTAAAATGAGCATCTAAAATAATTTGATCTCATGAAACTTTCTGGAGGTAAAAACATAACTACACTAAGAGAGGAGGAGGAGGAGAAGGAGAGGAAAAAGTGAGGAGTGGAGGAGGGGAAGAGGGGGAAGAGATGATGGGAGGGGGTGGAGAGGAAGAAGAGAGCAGGGGGAGCGGGAGAAAAGAAGAGAGGAGGAGAGGAAAAGGGAGTCGTTAGTTCTGGTTTAGAGGCGCACAGGAGAACGGCGGTGTCTGCGCAGTACGGAAGGAGACGTGGGATATAGCCCAAAATGTGAAAACAGGAAAATACCACCATGTAATCCATTTATTTCAACAAAGTAACTGTAATCCAATTATCACTCACTGAAACAGTAACTGTAATGTACTCATAATTTGTACTCTGATTACATAACTCTGGTACATGTAATCTGTTACTCCCCAACACTGCATATAAAGCAAGAATTTAATAATAAAATACGAAGCTGTGTTTTTGAATCTCAGCTCCATTGACTGTTGTTTATATATTCACTCATCCACTGTCTACAGACCCCACAAGTTTCACTAATATTGGGGTTAAAATCATGTTCATGTACACACAGGTGTCTGACTAATGTACAGTATATATGCTCAGGAATCTGGATGACCACACATGTCCAGTACTGGAGCTGTCTGAGGAAGAGGAAATGTCTCCCTCTGCTGTTGGGTTGGCGAAATGGTGATGATGATGAAGATAAAGAGGTAAAATATGTAAGGTGAATTTAGATTAAAGTGACAAAAGGGCATTTTTTTTAAAGATTAATTTTCGTATAAACTGGGAAACATTACTTGAATATTGATCCATGTAAAAACTGAAATACCTTAGTGGAGATATTTGCTCTTCAAAAATTCCAAAATTGCAAAATATAATATAACTTATAAGTAAATATAAATTAAGAAAATGAATACAATGGACTTAAAACATTTTTACTTTTGGAATATACTGAAAGCTAGCCCGATTCATCAGCCTGCTTCACTTCGTTGAAACTGTCTGACCTCGCAGCATTAGGATTCATTCACTCAACGGTAGGCGAGTACTTTTTTAAAATTTAACCAGTTACTGTTATTTGGTCGTGACATATGTAATGTGCTGCTAACGGGGCTAACTGTATATTAAGCTTTTCCCAAATCCCGTAGTAAGAAGGACAATAACTTTTTTCCCCTTGATAAAATTCACCAAACATTCTCTTTGTTCTGGCTTTAAATCTTCGATCTCGGGAATCGTTGCCAACACAGAATGTATTGCTTTGTCTACATCCATCTTGTTTACTGTTGTTCTGTGCCACAAAATGGACCCAGTCATGGCTTCACAGCTCTTTGCCGATTGGCTGGTGTGCGGTCTACAAGTTCCGGGGTTCTGTCTTGTGTATTCCGATTCCTAAACTAGTCACTAGAGAGAAATGAAATTGAGCAGAGGCACCAGCCTGGCTAATAATCTTCCACCATATGTATAAAATAATGTATATCTGTCTTGATGGAGAATGTTCCCAAATATATATCTTTATATTTCCATGGAATTGTGCAGCTTACATGTCACCTACAGAGAGTTACATAGTGCACAAACATACCTGGAGTTGTGTTTTTTTCATTCACACGTTTAAAGCACAAATCCTGCATATTTAAGCTACATTTATATGATGACGGTTTGAACAGAAGATGCAAAAGTAGCTTCGCATCTTCACTTTTTATTCTGCGCTTAGACGAGTGTTTTTGGGAGGAAATCTGTGTGCATACAGTGAGCTGCTGTGTGATGCACTATCACGTCACATACGCTTTTCCACTCTGGAGGGTGGTTTCAGATTTTTGCATTTTTAAGTCCCAAAAATGGCATCACCATTTAAACAAAAGCCACTTCCGATAAAATATTTTGTTGCTTTTACCCACAAGCATTCTTGTGTAAAGAGGCCTTCAGGCTGAGTTCTTCTCTTAAACACAAAACACTTTGCCACCTTGTGATGTCATGAGGTAATACAGGAAATGCTCCACTGTGTTTTTAAACTCCACACACCTTCACTATAATCATTTGGATAATTTCAGCCCTGGAATTGCCAATGTTTACTGAACAGCAGGTACAAGGAAGCTGTTAACTTAAAAACTACTGCTTCATGACATCACAAGGTGAAAGAGAGCATTTTTGAGCTTTGGAGATGTAGACAGACTAATAATAAGGGTTACGCAAATATATGTGAATGAAACAAAACACAACTTCAGGTATGTTTTTGAAGAGGTTGACAAAAATAACAGCAGTTTTGCATAATATAGGATCTTTAGTTTTATACCAAGACAAAGAAAAAAGTTTGCATTGAAGCTATTGTGAAAAAAAAATAGAAAAAGAAAAAATGTGTCCATAAAATCCATCATAACTCAATGGTTCCTCCATATTTGACCCTTATGGATAAATGTATGTGACTATACTGTGCACCTTGGACATATACGCTGACGTGGACTGGTCTGAAGAACCTCTCCCCTAAAGAGACACAGAAATGAGCCAACTCCTCCTGAGCTAAAGGTGTCTGAGTCAGTCTTTGTGTGTTCTTGATGCTTTCATTGGCAGCTCCGGTAGCCCTGGTCTCTCCTGGGGACTTCTACGCTCCTTCTGAAATCTTGCCCCGACATCTGCACAACATATCATCTCGGCACAGAGCTAGTTTCCATTGGAAGAGGCTGAATATTTGACTTTATTACTCTTTCCCCTCCTGCCTGTGCCCAGTTTTGTTAAGGAAGCTCAGACAGTTAGCACAAACACATTTATTCATTTTTCAAAGCAGAGGATGGGGTAATGGACACATCGTAGAGGCAGGGGTTTGTCCGTGTGATGGTATTGCTGGGATCATTAAAAAGACTTACAACTTTGAGAGCAGTAAAAGAGGCCCAGTCAAGCAGAATCAAGTTATGGACTATAAATATGATCATGTGATTCTATGTGAAGGACTATATAAGAGGGGGAAATCTGAAAACTCAAGAAAAAATACTAAATGGATCTAATAAACACATTTCAGGAGCGTTCATAGTTCTGCGTCAGCGTTTGTTTGAGTTTACATCAGATCTTTCTGGTCAGATTGTGTTAAAATAAAGCTCAGATTAAAGTCTAAGAGAGCCTCATAGAGAGCAGTGCCTACAGCAGGGGTCTCCAGCCTGTTTCCTCTGGTGAGCTACGTGTAGAAAATGAAAATGCCAGAGAGCTCCTGGTTTTAATGGTCACAAGAAATTGAGCACATATAAGAGCCATGGCGAGCCTTAGATGAGGTGCAGTTAGATGCCTATAAAACATAAACCATTATCCATTTATTAGTGTACAAAGTTAGGCATCAAAATGATACATTTACACTTGTAAAAGGCATTTAATTAATCAAAGTTTACTTATACAGTACAATACGTGTAATTCAGAAATCCCTTGGTGAGCTACTTGGAAGGGGGTGGAGAGTTCTGGTAGATGCCGAGCTATAGTTTGGTGACCCCTGGCCTCAGTTAGCATCACAGCTCCAGGGAATGTTGAAGACATTAGCGGTAGAGTATCAATTTATTATTTTAATTCTATTGTATTTATACAGAAACTTGTTTCTGCAAAATGTAAAACAGTAACTTCTCAGATACCATTCATACTGTTAACCCCAAGCTTGTAACTCCAGTACAAAAAGCACTGGGCCCTTAAAGCCACACTATGTTACTTTTTTAGCCAAAATTAGACAAAAATAAACCATGCTTTTTCTTTTCAGTTTTGTTGTTTTTCTTGCCCTTAAAACATGTCCACAAACCGACTCTTGCTTGTTTTCACAGGGCTGTTGTTCCTTTGGCTATGTTAGGTGCTGGTGCACTTTTGCACACTGTCTATCTACTGCAGTGTTTCTCAATGACTGGGTGGTTTGATTACTGTTTTTCATTGTTTAAAACTTGAGTGATTCTAATTGTTCAGAGAGATACGATTACTCAGTCAACAATAAAATATCCTCATTAATGTTCAATAATGGTCAAATCCACCTTTATTTTATGATTGACTTGGGTCACGAAGGTTTGTGACTTTTAAAATATGGGTCCCCAGAAAAAGCGTCTGGGAAACACTGATCTTCTGTGTAATGTTTATATTATTTATGCTTAACCAAAGATGTTCATTTTGTCTTCTTATGTTCTTTAACTTATTCTGTCTGGCATCTAACTTCGGTCAGTCTGAGCGACTGCCAGGTCAATCAGGCTGTCCACGCCTGCACACGTCACCCCCAACACCCGTGACAGTTCTGAAGATTGTTTGCAGCTGCAGCTGAATGATGTCAACAAGATAAATACACTTTACTCAATTGTCTTTAAAAAAGAACCCAAGGAGTTAAAATGATTGGTGCTTGTTTTGAGGTATGGCTGGTTGCACTATAAATAGGCCTTCTATCCATGGCGCGCTCTATTAACACTCTATTTTTATGGAATCATGCAGGTGACGTGCCACTCTGCTCTTTTTAGAAGACTTTGGTTCATGATTTCACATCTCCTCTCCTCCATTCCTTTAAATCCATCTGTGCTTTGCATTACTGTTCTATCCATTCTTTCCACTTGTCCTTTTTCCTCCTCTCCATTCCCAGTATTCCTGTCTTTGCGTCTGACTTGCACTTTCCCATGACAGAGCCTCCTTTGGGACTGGGACAAGCGGGTGCCTCCCTCTCACCTGGTCCGGAGCGGCAGTAAAAGAGCTCTTTGTCCCCCTGATCCGAAAGCCTTCATCGCCTCCGGAGGCATATCCTATGTGAAGTCCAGACAGGAAAAGACCAAAGTGGGGCTGGAATTCTGGGCTCTCGTGGGAGAATTGGAGCACATTTTTGGGGCCTCGTCTCTGTGCTACTGACGTCTCCTCCCAGTCTGTGTAACAAGGAGGAAACCACAAACTAAAATACTAAAATGAAAGGAGAACTGAAAATATCCGAGAATAAGAAGTGAAAGTAGCTGATCTGCTTTACAAGTCAGATAGTGCATAAAGCATTACAGAATTGCTTTTTGGTTCGGAGTCAGTCACCGTCTTGTTTCCATGGACATGTAATTGCTCTGCCTGGAATGTTCCACAGTATGACATTAAACAGCTCTACCTTATGTTTATTCAATTACAGGTGGTTTTATCATTCAAAAATGCCTTGAAAAACAGGCATTCTGACTGTCAGCGGGGTTGCCTTTCTACAGATCTGACCTGTAACGTGGCCTGGTTTGGTCTCCATGAAGATAAAAAGGTAAGAAAAAGGTAGAAAAGTTGCACAATGCACCATTAAAAGCAGGAAAAAACAAACTAGTTAATTTTAAATTGTTGTGCTCCACTCACTTTATGCATTCCAAACATTGCAGTTATTCACCATGATGAGTTTATAAGAGCTTTTCACAATGTTCAGAGACTAGAGTGTAGTTTTGCTTTGACAATAAAGCTAAGAACTAGCATGCAAACACACACTTCCTGATTAATTGACAATAGAGTGCTTTATAATTAGACGCAGATAGCATGCAGAGGACATATTTTGACATCAAGAGCTACCACTGTTGGGCACATTACTTCAAAACTGTAATGCGTTATTTATTACTTATTGTCATTTTAGAGTAATCCGTTACTTTACAGTATTACTGCATTTAAAATATAAGACATTACACGACTATTGCAGCACTTTTAAGTTACTCTCACCAAAATAACTGTCACTGATTGTCAAATAGCAATCAGCGAGCAAAGATGCCAAACGTTGGTGCCGTATATGGATTGAACCTGGACAAAACCAGGACTGGACTAAGGACTGAACCAGGACTGAACTGAGGACTGGACTGAGGACTGAACCAGGACTGAACCAGAAGGACTGAACCAGGACTGAAACAGGTCTAAACCAAGTCTAAACAAGGTCTAAACCAGGACTGAACCAGGACTAATCTCATACTAGGGCTTGGAATCTAGGACCACCCCCGAGAAAACCCCAAGCCCATAGAGCAGGGTCTCCGCAAAAGTGCGCAATCAGGCGGAACCGTAACGATGGTGGTGTTTCACCGTTGCTGATATCACGGTGATTTTAGCGAATTTGTATAAAGAAAAACGAAAAACTCACCACTTCAATCCAGATTAAAAATGCATTGTAGCACATGTTACTGACATTTGTACCCAGTAAAATATTACAAATTTTTTTCCCTGCAATGCCTTACATTGCCATGTTACAGCAAAAAGCAATGCATTCAGTGTTGGGAAGGTTACTTTTAAAATGTAATCCCCTACAGATTACAATTACACACCCCAAAATGTAATTTGTAAACGTAATCCATTAAAATTACTTAAAGTGAGTAACGTAATCTGATTACTTTTGGATTAACTTGATATTGTCATGTTTTTTTAAAACGACATGAATGTAGTAACCAATCCTCAAAATTTTTGTGTTTGTGTGCACGTCCCTCATGTGGCAGGTCACTATAGGACAGTAGTGCAGATATTATGAGTCTATGCAGGTTTTTTTCACCAGTGCCAGTAGCTCCGGTTTCACATTTAAGTTGTAGGCGATTTTATATTTGTTTTTTTTATATATATATCTCACATCAGGAGAAGAATTTCCAAGACACAAATGCGGTTTTTACCAATGCACTGCTGCTTCCACTGTGTGACTGACATCGCCAACTTTAACATGACGTTTACGTCGCTCTTATTGGCCACGTTCTGTTTGGGCTTCAGGCAATGAGTGAAATTACCGAAATAAAAAAAATAAATAAATGGATGTGCACAAAATGTGAAAACAGGAAAATACCCCTTGTAATCCACTTATTTCAGCAAAAGTAACTGTAATAATTACCACCATTGAACATAACTGTAACTGAATACATTACTCATAATTTGTACGCTGATTACGTAACGGCGGTACATGTAATCCGTTACTGAAATATTATAGTAATTTGTTACTTTTATAAATATTTATATTCACTCCCAACACTGAGAGCTACTCATACAATAAAACTGTACTCTGACAAGACACATTCAAATATATGCTCAAATATGTGGAGAGAAATCGGATACAGGCTCTTTAAAGATCTATTTGGCTCTTGGTTGACAGAAAGACATTACAATTCAAATATGTCAGCTTGTATTAGTAGTATTAATGTTTGCAACACTACTTTACTGATGTATTTTATTGTATTTCCACAAAGGTACATGAACTTAATTTCAGTATAATGTCACTGGATGGAAGACTACCAAATGTTTTTTCTGAAATAAAGTTAGTATTGTAGTATATATTGAACTAGTCAGAGAGGTGGAAGAAGAGTACTAACATAAAAGTTTATTTACTATGTACAGGACCCAGACACATAAATCCCCAGGACATTGTGACAGTATTCAGAGTTGCCAAGTCCACTGCTTTATAGCGTTTTTAGGCTTTTGGAAAGTACCTTGCAAATTTTGAAAGTTGCAGTTTTTACCCTTTTTGAGTTCTGTTTACGCCCTCATAGATCAGTAATGACTATTCAGAACAAAAAAATTACTGAAACACAATCTGTTTTAAAGCTGTTACTGATATTAAATATGCTTGTAAAAATATGCACATCTCATTAGCGCAGTTCATTGTTCAGTGGTGTCGCACAATGTTTAAAAAGTTGCTTCTCATTGGGGTTTCTTTTTTTAAGGCTCTGAAAGGTCTTTGAAAATCTGGCAAAACTTATAGAATTGTCCATTACAGTCCGGTTTAGTCGCAGTCCAGTCACTGTCTGCTTATGCTTCCATTGTAGGGAGTATTATACCAAAGAAAACAAACAAACAAACAAAAAATCTAAATCTACCCTGAAAGCACTTTAGTCAGTTACAGCAGAAAAATCTATATACTCCAGAAATTCAGAGAAAATGGACCACAAACCTGTCTAGGCACAGTCCCACAGTCAAGACACAGTCTGCCCATGCTTCTGTTGTAGGGAGTATTATACTTGAGATAACAAGGACACAACTTTTTAAATAGATAATAGAAAAACAATCAGCTATTCTGTGTAATTCTTCTACTATCCATCTGTTTTGTGTAGTTCTTTTCCCCTCAAGAATGGTTCCAGTTGTGTTTTGATTTAGTACAATAGAAAAGGGAAATTATTTTTTTGCTAAAATAAACCTAAAAAAACCACAACTAAACAAAAATTAACAGAATCTTTATTTATATTATCTACAAATATAGGTATTGAAGAACAAAAATATTCAGATAACTCAATTTCAACCAAAACACAGATAGAACCACAACTGTCCAAGTGGATAAGTTGTAATAATAAAATAAATAAATATATATATAAATATTACACAATAAATCCTACAGTGCTCTGGTGAAGTTGTAAAATGTTAACTTTCCTCTTCCTATACGCTGTATGTCATCACTTGGGGGAAAATGCATAAAGATGAGTTATTACTGAGTCTTTCCAGCACAAACTAGTCAGAGCTGTGTGTCTCTTAGCCCCATCCACTCACCCCCCACACATGGGAGACTGACCGTGACCAAACTCCCTCAGATGAATCCACAGGAGTTGCTGCGAGCGTACAGGGAACAACAGGTGGGTTAAGGTAATGAAAGAGGGTTTCATTTGATAAAAAGTCAACAACGTCATCTCAAAATAAGAACTGTTCATTTAAAACACACACATTATGTAACTTCCTCTTTTGAATCTTTGGGGGCGCTATTGTCACTAGAAAAGTATTGTATCACAAGCAATGTACCCTGAAAGCACTTTAGTCTGTAGTGGTTATGTCACAGTGCACCTGCCATTCACACAACACGGCTTATGTAAATATAAAGGTCACTGTGTTGTTAAACAGGGACAGTTGATCCAGTCTGAATACAGCAGTTACACCAGAAACACCTATGTTCCTGAAAGACTGAGAAAAAGGGCCACAAACCACCACTAGTCTTTACAGTTTTTCTGTTACTTCAACACATTTCTTAGACTAGAACTGAATTTTCAAAGCTTTAAAATTTTCTTTAAATTTAAATTCCTTTAAGCAATTCACACAACATCAAATATACTGTAAGTATTTTAAAATCAGATAATCTGCTCAATATCGTTTATTAATTTCACTAAATTAAGTATTTTCGTCGGTAAACACATCAATCCCTTCACAGAACTCACTGCAGCGTTTATAAAATGAGCATGAAAATGCTTCATCTTGTTTTCAGATTCTGCACAGACCAAACATATGTCACCGAACAGGATTTGTAACTGTTTATGATTGTAATATCATTTACTGACACCATATTACATGTTTTACTCCCAAAGGATCAGAGCAAATGACTCATCTGTGATGCAATCTCTATTGCAATTCTCTCTTAAACAGTCAGAAGCAGTGGAGAAGTGCCCAGGACCCTCCACTCACTGGTCAGGAGCACCTTACTGTACTGCTGCCCCCGTGACCCAGCCCCGGATAAACAGAAGAAAAAGGATTCTCTGTGTGGGTCAGTGGGCTACACAGTGATGGGGAAAGCTGTTGATTGGACACATACAATTTTTCATAAATATTTATATTTTTATATTACATTTTTCATAAATATTTTGGATCAAATACTGCAAAATTTACTTTGCTGAGATTAAATGTTGTTTAGGAAAACAAATATTCTGTTTAGTACTTTGTGTGCACAGATAAAATAGTGCCCTTTATGTCATTTTACCACATGAGAACTGTAGTATTGACAAAACAAGGTGAATTTACTCATCGTGTGTGTTTCTAAAGCTCTGAGCTGAGAGGAGTGTCAAGAGTTCTGAGAAAGTGCCTGAGAGCTGTGCAAACTGATGACAAATGTTTCAAATGATGTGACCACATGTGCCTCTGTTCAGATACAGGTTTGAATCAAATGATCAAACTAAACAAAATTTCAAATGTGCTAAAAGTACAAAAAAAAAAAAAAAAAAAAAAACTAAAACGGTATTGTATGGTATTTAAAATTATTTCAGATTAGCAAATACATCATCATAAGAAACAGTAGACAGTTGTACAGACTCATTTGAAATAATGCATCAAAGCATTTGCTCTTTGAAAAGAAAAGCCCCTAATGATTTGCAAAAGAAATAAATAAAGAGTATTTAAAACTTCATACCTAAAACTACCAAATTCACATAAAGAAAACAATCTTTACTTTATGTTGAAATTCATATAGGAATTACGGGTTGTAACTGAGGTACTGTATCATCTCTCTGTTTTAACACACTGGATCTTCACTTTTGACTTTTCATTGAAGAGACAGTTTTTTTTTTCAATCGCTTTGGCACAAAAGTTAAAATTTTGGCACAAATTTTCAAAGCTCAAGGAGCAAATATTCCTGTCATGTTGGCTCAACCTTATTTCCATTTTCATGCCTTACCTCTCAAAGCATAAAACACAATTATCAACTATTAAAACAGAGACTGAAAGTGTAACACTCTCTCTGCTCATGCTATACTCTATGGACCTAACTACTGTATACTACTACATACTACTTATTAAAGTCCACAGATCGAAGACACAAAGGACAAAGCTGAACACACAGTAATCACAATATGAAGATATGTTTTAGACACAAAAGCACTAGAAACCATAATGTAAAAGACTTCTGTAGTGAAAACCTGTGTGAAGCAGGTTTTCATTCAGAGACTTGGAGGTCCAAATCTGACATAGTTCAGATTTCTACTGCTAAAAAGCACAGATTTGATTGTGTAATATTGAACACACATTTACAGCATTTCCTTCATTCTAAAAACATCAGAAACAGTGTGATATTGGTCTTGCAGGTCTGACTCCATCACACTACACATCTAAATGTGTGGGAGCAGTGTTTGGATGGTGGTTAAACTTTATAAATTTCATGGCTGTGTTTGTGTCCTTTTGGTCACAAAATCATTTTTTTCCTGAAATGTTGTGTATTGATTGTCTTGAGTGAATAGTTAGGTTGCACAGAATATTTTCTGGTTTATAAAAAGTTTCAGAAAATGTGCAGTGGAAAGAGCTGTAGCTCTAATGGCATCCCTTAAGGACAGAGCATGGGAAAAGATGGTGTTTCGTCAATGTGCTCATTATAGCCTTTATTCCACACAAAAAAACAAAACAAAAAAAAACACAAAGAAAAAATATAAGCGAAAATACACATGCCTAGTAATGAAACATAATAAATAATGAAACTAGTATGTATAATTATTACTATAAAAAGATGCAAAAAGTTAGTTTCATTAATTACATTAGGGTTGTCAAAAGTACTGAAAATCAGACACTAAACTAGATACTCATTTGAACAGGTATGTACTATACTAAAGAAAACTTTTTTTTAAACTTGGCTTAGTTTAATCATTTCATTCAGACTTGTATCTGAACAGAGGTACAGGTGGTCAAATCACTCGGAACATTTGTCATCAGTTCACACAGCTCTCAGACTCTTTCTCAGAACACACTGACATGTCTCTCACAGCTTCAGAGACACACAGAGTCATCTGAGTTAAAGACGTGGGTCCTAACACTGTCATTTCCAATGTAGAAAATCAAATATAACAGCAAAAAAAAAAAAAAAAAAACAATTTGTGAGCAGCAAAACTTTAACAACAAAGGATTTGGCACATAGGTCAAACAGGGAGAAGAGTCTCAGCTGTGAGCACAGGCTGTGAATAGAGTCTACATACAGATGTACACAATGTGAGATGTGAAAGTCTTGTATGATTTTCAACATATCACAAATTCAACTTTGCAGTTGGTAATGTGTACATTTATATTTTACATACAATACAATATACACTGTGCGCACCATTATTGGGCAAGTTAGTATTTTGACCATATCATGATTTTGATGCATATTCTTCGATTCCATGCTGTATAAACTTGAATTCTTATTGGATTTAAGCATATCAGGTGATGTGTATTTGTCTGATGAGAGCGTGTGTGGCCTAAGGAGATCAACACTCTATATCAGTGCAGAATTAATGTGTGTGCCGTATTAATAACAGCTTCTTTTCCTCAGGCAAAATGGGCAAAAAGAGAGATTTAACTGACTCTGAAAAGTTAAAAATTGTAAAAAAGTCTTTCAGAGGGATGCAGCACTCTTGAAATTGCAGTGATACTGGGGCATGATGACAGAACCATCAAACGTTTTGATGAAAATGATCAACACTGTTGCAAGAAATGTGTTGGGGAAAAAAAGTTGCAAATTAACTGCACGAGTTTTGAGAAGAATCAAACATGAAGCTACCAGGAACCCATTTTCCTCCAGCACTGTTATGCTCCAGAACTGCAGCCTACCTGGAGTGCCCAGAGGTACAAGGTGTTCAGTGCTCTGAGACATGGTCAAGGTTAGGTTAGGTGAAACCTGACCACCACTGAATAAGAAACATAAGCTGAAACAGGCCAAGAAATATCTGAAGACAGATTTTTCAAAGGTTTTATTTATGGAGTGATGAGATGAGAGTGACTCTTGATGGACCACATGGATGGGCCTGTGGCTGGATCAGTAATTGTAAGAGTAAGAGATGGACTCAAAATTAACTCCAAAATCTACTGCCAGTTTTTAGAAGATAAGTTTTAGAAGACAGGTTTTAGCTCAATTATTTATTTATTTATTTATTTTAATTTCTGTTTATTTGTACATTTTGAGTTGTTTACTATTCTGACAGATGAAAATAAACATGTTAGAATGGAAAATATATATTTTTTTTTATTTAGTTGCGTTTAATTCTGGACATTAATAGCCCAATAACACATAGCCCTATGAAAGCCAAAACTTCACTTTTACTTACCTAAATATTCAGGTTTGAGGTTTATTAACATTCTGGATTGACAGAGAGCACTGTAGTTGTTCAATTATAAAATGAATCCTCATAAATACAACTTGCATAGTAATTATGCACAGTGTAGACAGATTTTAGACAAAAAAGCAACCTTTTTCTGATTCAGATTTGTAGCGTAAACTGCAGAGCCAGTTTGCAATAAACCAGCTACTCTGTCAAATGAATGTAAGAGCCCAGAAAAACACAAGGCCACAGTATTACAGGTTTAATGGTAAAACTTGCTTTATTACTTAAATTCTGTTTAAGATTTTGCAAATATCAATTTCCAATAGATAAATGTGCCAAAGTGATTGAAAAAAAAAACAACTGTAAAATGTACTTTTCAACTGTCTATTTGCTTCCATTCCTAAAAAGCATACACCTCTGTGTGTTTTTCCTCTTTGGAGACAGACAGATTATGCAGGGTTAAACTAGGTTAAAGGTGATTTCATAACACTGAGGTGACATAGCTCAAACTACTGCTGTTCAATTCGTAAAGACACGTGCCAGATGTTATGCCAGATGGGATTGAAACTGGGATATTTATGGGTGTTGGGACAATACATTAAAAACTAGTCATCATGGTACAACAATTTTAAGAGCCTGTCTAGGCTTGGTAGATCAGTCGAGTTCAAGTTCTGTCTCTAGCTGGTCTTCTAAGTAAGTGTGTGATGCTCATTAACCTTTACAGTCAACAGTGCTGTCTAGTGTAATTATGCAGAGTATTACCAGGGAGATGTGTCAGACTAAAATAAATGGAAATAATATCATTCCCTAAACCTTTTGGAAGAAAAAACACCTGATGGTCACTTTGAGTACTGTGCAGAAATAACAAAAAGGCTCCATTTAACAAAAGTTAATGCAAACAAAAGTCCAGACGCTCTGTGCCATTTTGACTCTGGTCTGTGCCAGTTGGCATTGGGTGGCATCAGCAAATGTTAAAAGTAGAACAGTCAGACACATGAGTGCACACCGGGCCAAACATTTAAAATGTTCACATAATATAAATGTTCCATGCATTTTCATAATAATTGAATAATGTAATTTTGAGATACACATTAATTCAGTGTTTACATTTACCTCAGGTTGCAAACCCCCTGCTTACACTTGGACAGTGAGAGGCCACAAATTTTAAAGAGTTTACAAGGCAAATGTGATCTCTGATGTCTGGGAATCTGGAAGGTCAGATTAGTTGGCATACATGTCAATCAATGAATAATGTGAATATGGTAATGTAGCGGTTCTCAAAGTGGACAATACTATCAACAATACCAGGCTATCCCAGTTGGTGTAAAACTTATTTATATGACTGAGTTAAATAAAAACAATATGTTGGGGCAAGCAACTTTTGATAAGGAAACATCAAGAACACATAGTAATTTGTCACAATCTTGATTTTAGATTATATTTAGACTTTGAAGGGTTTTAACAGTCCATTGACTGAAAAAGCAGACATTTGCCCAGAATTAAAATTAAATTTTAATTTCAGCATGATTTAATTTGACAAAATATGTTAACATTGATTCTGTAAGTGATGAAGTGATAAGGTGATTTCAAAAAGGGTTTAGGAGGAAGAACTGTCGACTGCCCAAATTATGCACCTTTAAATTATACACATAATACATAAATCTTTTCATACAATAGAAAGCTTTTTTGGAATTGAATGCGAACTTGAAAAAAGATGAATGAGACCTTTAAATACGTTTGGCCTTTTGAGTTCTCTTAAAGAATAAACTCTCATGTCCTGACAGCAACAAAATGACATTCAACATTTTTTGAAAGCCTCTTTTCCACTTCGGTATAGAGAAGTGAGCATTTTGAGAATTTTGTGCCTGTTGTCTTTTGGCTAAACAACTGTACGACATTTTGAGCTTGGATTTGACTCTCTCACTGATGAACGATGAACACCTCAGTCTTCAGAATGCATACACAGCATTGCTTGCATTGCTTGTGATTTATCATATCATTTATAAAAGCCATTTTAATTCCAGTTTTACCAGTAGTGTACTATAACAGACAGACTGATATGAGGATGACCTGTAGTAAACCCAGAGTTTCATTTGTCATTGCAACACAATCAAACTCTAGTTTATAATGGATAAAACCCATGTGGGAATTTGGAAACTTCTGTGAGAATTGGGCAGCTGAAACATCTCACATAAAGGTCAAAAGATTTCTGATTGGCTCAATGTCGACTTGTACAAGTATATAAACCTACAGGCGGCTGATTCAGTGTCTTTTATTCTTCATTGGACCAGTGGGTAAAGGCAGGATGAAGTGGCTGGTTTTGGTGGCTCTTTTTGGGCTGGGTGTGGCCCAACACAACCCTCACATGAAGAGTGGACGCACCTCCATCGTGCACCTGTTCGAGTGGAGGTGGGCCGACATCGCAGCAGAGTGTGAGCGTTACCTTGGTCCCAATGGCTTCGGAGGCGTTCAGGTGGGTCTTTAAAGTCACTCATGCACAGACATTCAGTAAATTCACTCTCAAATTTTGGAGTTTTTGAATTTTTTGCTTTTGAATATTCAGTCAAATTATTTAACACTAATACTGTAATTACTAATATTTTGGGTTTTGGGTAAGTGGTTTCAGATTACTACACTACATTTGACGAACACATCATCTATTTTGGACCAGGCCTATCCAACCCACCTACAGAGTGCTGCTGGTAAATGCACTGGTATCTGTCAAAAAAGTAGAGGAGCAATGCATATTTAAGTACATTTACTAAGGCAAGAAATGTAGAATAGAGTTAGAGATGTTTTACTATGGCATGGATAAGTATAGAATGGAATAGGAGTTTTGTAAAAGAGTAGGAATTGTAGAAGTAAATGTCAGGGTCATGCAGTTACTTTATAAATTGAGGAAGTTGTTGAATGTTGTTGAGATGAGTAACAAAAGAAAACTAATTCTAGACAGAATCAGTATTCATAGAAGTGAGAGGGTGATGACTGGGGCATAGAAGGTATAAAAATGGTAAGAAAGTGATGAGTGAAGAAAGCATATGACAGAGGAGCTGTAGCATGTTGTAAGTGTAACAAAAAATTGGATGTTGCCAGATGAGAGCACCTCAAGGATTGACACAATCTCCCTTCTGGTTTGCTGGAGAAAATAACAGGTATATATATATATATATATATATATATATATATATATATATACTATATATATATATATATATATATATATGTATATATTGGTTTTCTCATTCACTCACACTGGTACATCTCACAGAATGGTATCTGATGATCATAAAAATGCTACTTCACTAACATCACTCAACTATCACACTGAATGAAAACACCACTAACTTACCAGTCAATATTGGCACATTACCAATAATTTTATCCATTTGTTTGAGCTGAAGTTTGGTGAGAACGCGATCTGCACCAAATGAAAATTGCTTCAATGTTTCAGTTTTAATCCTCAAGTTGAACAAGTTAACTGGACTAACAGGTGTAAAAACACCCTTAGTCACTCTCTTTTTCTCCTGTCAGATTTCTCCTCCCAGTGAGCACATTATCGTGAGCAACCCCTGGAGGCCCTGGTATCAGCGCTACCAGCCAATTGGCTACAAACTCTGCTCCCGATCAGGAAGTGAGGCCGAGCTTCGCGACATGATCACCAGATGCAACAATGTCGGGGTAAATTGAGACACTTTAAAGCGTAGACCTTACAGGACATGTTTTACTTTACAATAGTGAGAAAAAATTAAATTAAAACTGGTAAATGATGTCTTTAAGGTCAACATTTAAACAAGTCTTTTAAATTGAAAAAGGGACCAAATGTGACAAATAAAACAACGTAATATACATAAACACAATAACATCTCTCTTTATAGGTGAACATCTACGTAGATGTTGTGATTAACCACATGTGCGGCTCTGCGGGCGGAGAGGGCACCCACTCCTCCTGTGGGAGCTGGTTCAGTGCTCCCCGTGAAGACTTCCCCAGTGTTCCCTACTCCAGTTGGGACTTCAATGACAACAAGTGCCACACAAGCAATGGTGAAATTCAGAACTATGGAGACCCCAACCAGGTAATGATCTGTTAGGGATGGGACAAGATCTTGTGCCATAAGATTGTGCACACATGAAAAAAAAAAGATTTTACATTTGGATTGGAGAAATGATCTTACATTTGCCACATGTTTACATTTGGATTGAACAGAAATGGTTAAAAATGGTTATTGAGAAGCTATTTCCAAAAAGCACAGTCACCATGACAGTGAAAATATTATATACAGTTTATAAATGTTTATATGGTCTCCCTGTATCTTCAATGGTTATATAGAAATTGTATGTTTCCCACAGGTCCGTAACTGCCGTCTGGAAGGTCTGCTGGACCTTGCCCTGGAGAAGGACTATGTCAGGGGTAAAGTGGCGGAGTACATGAACAAGCTTGTTGACATGGGCGTGGCTGGGTTCAGAGTGGATGCCTGTAAACACATGTGGCCTGGAGACCTGCAGAATGTGTTTGGACGCCTCCACAACCTCAACACCAAGTGGTTCTCCAGTGGATCCAGACCTTTCATCTACCAGGAGGTACTTAACACCCATCTACTCCAGACTATGTACTGAAATATGATCCTCAAAAAAATCAAAAGAGCACTGACAGCACTGGAAGAGATGCAGGGAATATTTTACTTTGCAAGACACATGTTATGTGTTTTGTAGGTAAGTTAATAATTAACAGGATTTCACTTTCGAAAGTTGTGGGAATTGGCACACTGGTTATTAGATGAAGTTTATCTCACTAACCAACAGAAATAAAACATGACATAGTATCTCATTACCTCATTTGACCACCACAGCTACCCACTACAGTGACTTCATAACTACAGATGTTATACCAATCCATCTGTCATTCTCAAGCTCCATTGTAATAAACAGCACAGTTCATACACAAAGTAATTCAAAAGGATTTACATAAACAAACATTCAAGTGTTAATAAAATTATAATAATAATAATAATAATTATATAATATATAATTACAATTATTATAAAATGAATTATACCCCAGGATTCTTGAACTCATCCATTTGAGGCTTGGTGTCTCCTAACCTGGCAAATAAAAGATTCATATGTGTAGCCCTCACACTGAAATGGCTCTTACTGAAAAAGAATGTCACAACAGATACATGGTAAATGGTCACATTTTTATATAGCGCTTTTCCACCTTCAAGGCACTCAGAGTGCTTTACAACAAAGAACCACTCACCCATTCACACACACATTCACACACTAGTGTATGCAGACACTAGTGAGGTGGGTTAAGTGTCAGTGTGAGCTGGAACCAGTGATGCTTATGTCGTGAACAAGATTCAGACCACCAACCTTAGGATCAGTGGACAAACACTCTATCTGGTAGATAGATTGAAGTGTTACATCAGCAGAAACAGGAGAGGAATCTTTGTTAAATCCAGTTAAGAGAAAAACCTTCCCTCTGCATGTTTTTAACAATCAGACTGGTCCTGTGATTGGCCTGAACCATGGTGGCCCAGACTACTGGCCAGGTTAGGTTTCTCCACCAACCTGAGGCCATGCCATCCTTTTTGATTCTGAGTCAACACTAATGAACATTTTCCTCATAGGTTATTGATCTGGGAGGAGAGGCCATCTCTGCCAGCGAGTATTTCCACTTGGGCCGAGTCACAGAGTTCAAATATTGTGCCAAACTGGGAAATGTGATCAGGAAGTGGAATGGAGAGAAACTCAGCTACACCAGGTATGGCTGAAAATCATGGAATTATATCAGTGTTTGGCCAATTCAAATAAAATTGTTAAAAGCTATTGAATATATGTATGTATATGCACAGTTTTTCTTCAGGAACCTGTGTTTTACTTTGTGGTCAGGAACTGGGGAGAGGGCTGGGGTTTCATGCCTAATGGAGACGCTGTAGTGTTTGTGGATAACCATGACAACCAGAGAGGAAGTGGAGCAGGTGGAGCTTCCATCATCACCTTCTTTGACTCTCGGCTCTACAAGATGGCCACCGCTTACATGTTGGCCCATCCCTATGGAATCACCAGAGTCATGTCCAGCTACAGATGGACCCGTAACATTGTTAATGGAAAGGTGTGTTATATTCTTAATTTTTTTTATAAGTTTGTTTTAAAGTGGAACAATACTGTGTCATCCATGTTTGGTACAAATGCACAATGCACCTGTATTATTTTTTTACTGTACGATAAAATATTTTATGTACCTCAGTGACTCTTTACTGACATTTAGAGAGATCTTTGTTCATTTGTGTGTATAAATTCATATATAAAACACAATAAATAAAAACTGTATTGCATGTACTTCTTCACATAGGATCAGAATTACTGGGTTGGTCCTCCCAGCAACAGTGATGGATCCACCAAACCTGTTACCATCAACGCTGACCAGACCTGTGGAAACGGCTGGGTGTGTGAGCACAGATGGAGGCAGATCAAGTAAGTGTATATATGCAATGACTGATTGAATTTCATGTTAATACTTTTCCTCCTGGTCACTAGTAATGCATATTCTTTAGCTTCTCTGATTACAGATTGCTTAATTGGCTAACTAAATAGAAAACTACCAGGATCATTATAAAATGGTTATGTAGAGTTAGTGCTTCCTTTCTTTCAGGAACATGGTGAAGTTCCGTAATGTGGTGAATGGACAGCCTCACTCAAACTGGTGGGACAACCAGGGCAACCAGGTCGCCTTTGGACGTGGCAACCGCGGATTCATTATCTTTAACAACGATAACTGGTGAGACTTTCATGTATCTGTCATGGAGCAGCCTTATTGTGGCAGGAATCACAATGTATGCACCTTTACAGTTAACACTGATGTGCACAATACGGTCACCATAAAACTTTATTCTAGTGATTTTTTATTCCACTAATATATGTCTTGTGATACTTTAAGGGCCCTTGACGTGACCCTGCAAACTGGCATGCCCGGAGGAACATACTGTGACGTGATTTCGGGTCAGAAGGAGAACGGCAGGTGCACAGGCAAACAGATCCAGGTGGGATCAGATGGACGCGCCAACTTCAAAATCAGCAACCAGGATGAAGACCCGTTTGTGGCCATTCATGCCGAGTCCAAGCTGTGAACGACATCATGTTTTCACCCACATAATCTCAAAGCTGTATAACACAGCATGTGTTTCATGTAATTCCTTGTTGAGCCATCATGTCATGTTACAGCCACTTCGTCTCAGTGACAGAGATGTCCAAAGTCAGTATAATTTTAGCAATTCGATTGAGCAAAAAGACAGTTTTGTTTACAAATTGAATCAATTAAATAAACCCTCCCTGTATAAGACACTGAGTGTTTACTTTCTTGAATATTTTCAGAGTAACTCACATGCCAACATTATATTCAAAATTATCAGCTATATACAGCATAGATTTTATTTTTTTTTACCCTGGGTCATTTAGGGTTTTACTGAGACTAATATTGTGCTTCTCAACTAAGAAAAGTGTCAACTGGGCCTCTGTGTAGTAGAATCCATCCAATGCAATCCAAGTTTATTTGTATAGCACATTTTACCAACACAGAATCTTTAAAGTGCTCCACAGAGTAGGCTTAATACAATAGCAATAAACACAATGAATAAAATAAAGCATAAAGAAATACATAAGAGAGTAAACAAAAATAAACAAAAAATTAAATAAAAGATAAAATCAAAAGACAGTCAGAGGACCACACAATTCTCATGCCGTGTTAAAACACAGTGAGTAAAAGTGTAAAAAAAGTGTGCTGTTAAATGAGTCTTAAAAGCATCAACTGAAGGGGCGGGGGGAGAGCATTCAAAAGTTTGAAACCAAGTACAGAAAAGACTCCATCACCCCAGCTTTTGAGTCTCGTTTTTGGTCCCAGAATAGAGCCCTGGTGCAATCCAGAACATAGGTGGGCTTATGAGGAAAGGAGTCCCCAAATTTGACAGTTAGGACGGATAGGACCTGAACAACTCCATTGCTCTTTCCCTGACTCCCACACAGTGCTCCAAGAGAGATAAGAGAACTGTGTGGTTCACTATGTCGAAAGCAGCTGTGAGATCTAAAAGCAAAAGAACAGGTGCATTTCCAGTATCAGTAAATAAAAACAAATCATTAAAAAGCTTTAAAAGTACAGTATCTGTGCTATGAATTGACTTTTAACCTGACTGAAAAACATCCATGACTGCTAAAGCACATAGGACCTCATGGCTTATTAAATAATGGTCAGAGAACACTGCATTACCAATTTCAAGGTTATCAACACCAAAACCATTAGATAAAACCCACATTCTTAAGTGGGTGCAGTGACATGTTGCATCAAATTAAATTAACAGATTACATTTAAAAAGGCTTTAGCCAGGGGTTTGCATTGACAGTACACTTGTACATTAAAATCTCTTACAATGAGTATCTTATTATACTTCACTGTGACGCTGGCCATAAAGTCCAAAAAGTCAGTGATAGAATCTCAGTTGTACTTGGGTGGCCAATAAACGACTGTACAAAGGAAATGCCCAAAGTGTCGAAGTTCAAATGCACACAGTTTAAATGGGGAATAGCAGCATCAGATTAGAATGTTCTCATCCAATCTGGTATTGGTCAATGGTCTAGCCTTTTTTGAGTATCGCCTTGGATCGGATTTGGTGAATAGATCGAGCTGATGCAGTGAAAAGTGTCCTCTGCACGCCACTGTTGCTGCTAACACTAGCTAACAACCAGAGCAGCTTAAATTCAGACAGAGGAGGCTCTAAAGTTACTAAAAACATGATTAATGACTTTTACCTCTGTGATATCTTCATGGAACCTTAAGAGTGAAAAACAAACTTTGAACAAATCGGTAGAGCACAGCCGAATGCTCTAACCTGTTTAGATATGTTAAGTAAGCATGTGCTTTGGACATGGTGACATTTTATAAGTTAAAGTAGGCCCATAATGAACCCAAATCTGTCTGGATCCTATTGTTTTATGTAATTGTAACTGTGCTTTTTGGGGAAAAAAGGCCATTCTCAATCCCTACATTGGTATTGGTTAATATCAGGTATTGGAGAGTATTGATATCGGTATCAGAAAAAGCTGGATTGGTGCATCCCTATCATCAGACACCAATTACCAAATTATCCCTAAAACACTGGTTATCAGGACATTAAGGAAACTACAGAATACACACCCCTGAAATAATAAAATAAAAAATTACAAAATATAAAATATTAACCATTTTATATATATATATATATATATATATATATATATATATATATATATATATATATATATATATATATATATATATATATATATATATATATATATATATATATATATATAATAAAATTAAAACATTGTGTGCTTGCCATGGGAAGACTCATGTGTGTTGGGCGGTTTTGGGTGGAAACCAAGTCAAAACCATCTCGGCTGCTATGGGCGGTGAGCCTCACCTTCCCAGTTTTGATCCTGATTGGTGGGAAAGGCCACTGATTCGGAACAAACTGATTTTATTTATTCAATGCTGTATCTTACCTAAGTATAACCAAGAGGGGTAATTTTTAACCAGTATTGAAACATTCAGCCAAGGCACACAGATAAGTACACTGAAAAAGAGACACAATATTCCATTTGTGAGGCTTTATTTGTTTATCATTTGTCTTAGTTAAGGTTTATAAATTATATTTCTTATGTTTGGTTTGACAAATTAAATTCACCATTTTGATTTCTTCACACTCACAGTTAAAGCAATTTTCACATGATGCTGTATCTGACCCCAAAATCAATTCAATCAATCAGTCTTTATTTATAGAGCCCTATACAAAACACATGGTTACCAAAGTGATTTCCAATAAAATCAACACAAAATATATATTACATATATTTAAAAAATCATTAAACAATTAAATAAAACAAAGTGTCACTTTATTACTGAGTGTTAAAACCTAAAATAAATTTTTAGCCTGAATTTAAACTGCCCCCTGGCATGCACACCAAATCAGTGAGGTCTGTGATGGTGTGCATGCCAGGGGGCAGTTTGTTCCAGGGCCGCTTTTATCACGAAACATTTAAGTAAATCTGCAGGTCATCTCCATAACAGTGAAAGGAGAGCCTGTGCCTCGCAATAATTCACTCCAGTGTCAGCCTGTATAGTGAACATAGCTGGGCCCCAGAATGGAGCCCTGGGGCACTCCACAGAACAGTGAGGCATCTGAGGAGGACAGGTCCCCAGTCCTGACAGAAAATGTTCTATCTAACCCACGTGCAGTGTAACAAAAGGCAACATAATGGTTAAAGCGAGACAACTGAATGGCCTACTGTATCAAAAGCCACTATTAATTCCCACACAACAAGAACCACAGGGTACTTCACATCAACAGACAGAGCAATATCACTGTGCACTTTCAACAGTGCAAACTATGTCGTGATCTCAAGCTAGACTAGATTTTCTTTTGGAGTTGGAGTTGCTTTCAAAGATCAGTTGCAAGTGAATAAAAATTACTTTCTCAAGAACCTTTGAAATAAAAGAGATAGGTCTAAGAGACATAGAGACAGGTCTAAAATTTGATAGAAGATTTGTTTTTTGAGAATGGGTCTCACTACAGGATGTTTAAGAGACTCTTGTCTCCTTAGCTGAGACAAGAGTTAATAAAAACAGCAGCGAGTGGCAAACATCTCCTTCAGCTATCTGAAAATGTCCAGAGTACAGGTTGTATTTCTTATTTGTTTGATCACATCTGTGAGACTGGTTCAAACTGGTCAAACATTGCCGAGCACTAACAGCCTGGACTGGACAGATGTTGAGACAGCTCACTTGTCTCACAAGATACCACTTTGTCAACAAAAAAGTGTAAAAAAAAAAGTCCTCACAGTTGGAAACAGTAGCATCAGTCAAAGAGATGCGTGGATTCACAACAGAGTTAATGGTATTAAATGACACACGGAGGCAGTGACCATTATTGTAATTTCAGCCAGATATTGACATTCAGTCTCTGTTGTAGTTCTTTGTTAGTGAGAAAAGCTGTCCCTAAAGAGCTGTCCCCAGTTGTTGTGCACAATATTTCACTAAGGTGCCACACATTTTATCTGGACCAGGGCTTTTGTTGTTGGAGAGAAATGCCCTTTCAGCACTCCTCTTATCTACTGCAAGATGGTGGCCATCCTGTACGGTAAGACAGGAGGGGTAAAAGCTTTAAGACCCCCTATGGCACAGGTGTCAAACATAAGGCCCGGGGGCCAGATCCGGCCCTCCAAGACCTTTAATCTGGCCCTTGGGTGATTTTCAACTTAAATATTTTAATTAAAATATTGGTAATTTTCTGCGGTGCTTAGCATAGCAGCGTCTCCACTGCCTCTGTACGTGGCTCCTCCCACCAGAGCAGCACAAATGAAGACTTGTCTCGTTCCAAATGCTATTAAAGGACGATCGTTTTGACTGTTGACCGTGACACCCTCATCAACAAAATGTCAAAAATGAGAAAAGTGGACGCCAAGTGCAGGATTTTCCAAGAAAAATTTACTTATTCCTATTTGCATACAAGTTCATGTTAAAACATTGTGTTGAAATTACATTTTTCTTAAAGTTTCAGGTTGTTCATAATAATATAATATTTTGTAAAAGAAAGAGTTCATCAATTTAAAAAGATTTCTGTAATAGATTTTTGTTTCTCTGCACAAATATTTGAACTTATTGTTATTTTTGAGGTATATATTCCATGAGTTTTCTGATCCGGCCCCTTTGGGATCAAAGTAGGTTGGATATGGCCCCCCGACAAAAATGAGTTTGACACCCCTGCCCTATGGCCTCAACAAAATCAAATCTGAGGTAAAAATTGTTAAAAGCATTTGCATCTCCAAATCTGATGTAAAGCCCTTGATAATAATGTCACTGTATTCAGGCTGGTGGACACCCGTAATATCTTTTATGCCTGTCCAAGCTGAACCAAGATTTTTTTTGTGCCAATTTGTTTTCTACTTTGGATTTGAATCTTCGTTTAGCCCTGGCAATCAGTATTTAAACTTTTAATTTGTCTGATTCTATTTCCAGTGGATCATCTGAGTTTAAGAGCACTTTGTTTCCTCATTACACTGTTCCACAGTTTCTGACGTCCAAGGTTTGTTGTTAGGTTAGACTTTGATGGTGTTAGCAGGAACAACCACATTTTCACAACATGTCAATGAATTCTTCAATATTGTCACATAAGTCCTTGAACATTTCCCAATCTGTACAGTCAGCATCCATGTAGACAAGCAATAGAATCCTCAGACCAAAGTTTAACCTCTTTTTTCCAGACCTTCTCTCTTTTAAAGATAGTTTTAGATGTAGGTAGGAGAAGCATGCAGTTATGGTCCAGTCTTCCCTCTCACCTCCAAAGCATGATCCTGGCAAAATGGTCCTGATGTTGTCTTGTAGTTCATCAAGTTTATTCTGCATGTATTGTACATTCCTAAGAATGAAAGATGGGAAGGGAAAGTGTCCAAGTCGCTGTGTTCTAAGCTCAACTCTGATGCCTCCTTTTTCCCTCACTTTCTTTGTTTATTCCTCCTTAACTTTGGGGTGTCTTCGCCACCATCTCTTTGTATCTAGTCCTCCAGTTGGATATTTGGTCGTAATCCAGCTGGCTGACCCTGTACATTCAATTGTAAAAGCACATCCTGAATACTTGATTCTGAAGGCTGTAAGACGTAATAAAAACACCCAGACATACTAAACACATGAAAGATTGGACGCTGAAATTCCCCTCTGCTGGTTGCAGGAGCACACGTGCAGACGGAAATATGAGTGTGTCACAAATTCACACTGACTTTATACCCAATTGTAGAGCACATAACATACCATTACTGAAGAGCTGCTTCAGTCTACAGCAGACCTTGGCATTGTACATCTTCTGGGCCACATATGTCCCTTTGCTGGGCTCTGACCGGCCCGTTTAAGCTAATTTGGAATTACAAAATGAACATATTTTATAATTTTACATCATGCATGGACTAAAGCTGCATTATTTTTATTTGAGAGGTGTTTTGTTAAAATTTAAATAAAATTTTTTTGTAATTTTGATGCTCTCCCAGTCTATGACCTTATTCACAAAATGCGTCCCATTATCACTTCTAATGATTTCTGATATACCCAAGGTGGGAATAATGTCGTTACATGGGGTTTTTGCCACTGTGATTGTATCAGGCTTGGCTGATTCAATCCATTTTGAAAAACATCTATTACTCCTAAACAGTAATAAAATCCATATGTAGGGTCTGAAAGGGGGTAGGTTGGTTGAGGAAACTGGCCTCTCTTAGGCCTAACTTGCAGATTAACCACTGTCTGCAAAATTTTTTTTTTGAGTAGGTATTAAATCCTATTGTATTAAAGTATTGATTTACTAGTGCCACCATCCCTCCTGTTGAGGAAAGACTGGACTTTTTATTGTCTTTAAGTAGACAAAAGTTATTATGTTCAAATTTCCTCGTCTTTGCTACTTTACAACAAACAGTTTCTTATTCATGGAGACTTGGGCTCAACAGCCAAATTGGAGAGATTTGTTAACCTGTTACCACCCGCCTCATTTTGGTGTGTGCACAATGGTAAGACATACCCAAATGTCATAGCTTATTAAAAAGAAAACCTTAGAACCCACATGCTTGTGTGAGGCACCATGTTAAAGCTTAGACCTTCTAGTTTCTGTAGATATGTATATGAAGACTGTGAGTGCTGTTTAACCTACAGTACAGTCAATTAAAATTGAAAAAAAATTGTATTTTTTTGCTTCGAAAAAAAAACCTAAAGGCCTTAGCTTGATCATACTTCATACTAGGCATTTGTGACTCACTACACTCATTGTTCAAGTTGTTGGCAACAACTGTGTAGAATTTCAGATCTCTAGGACAAAGGGTTTTGATGCTGTGAGCCTTTGTGTATACAAAATGACAATTCGGCACAAGATTGCCAAATTTGTGCCAAAATAACAATAATAATAATTGTTATTATTATAATACTAATTCTTCTGAGCTTTAGGCATGTTTTCTCAAGAAAAAAAATCTAAAAGTAACCAAAATTGTCTTCCGACTGGCAGTTCTGCAATCAATGGCACCTGCCACACTGCTCTCTGTGTCTCACTCATGGTCTCTCGGCTGCGCGTATAAACACCGCGTCCGTTTCCAATACTATCTGCATGTCCTACCCACCGTTTGAAAGCTCTGGTGATAGGCTAAAACAATATGTCAATCACTTTCTGGAAGATCCAATGACTGAAGAGATTTCCCGTAAACAAACTGATGACGCGTGCGTAAAGCCAGGAAGTACGTGAGTGCGTTAGCTTCTTCAGCGGCTTGTCCCAGCTAAACCCCGGCAACGACAACAGCGGGGAGGGTCTCATTTTGAAGCTAAGAGTGTGAGGAAAACAAGCGTACCCAAGAGCGGGAGAGAAAGGGAAGTGAGAGCGGGAGAAGAGGCGGAGAAGAGACATAATATTTTCATTCACGGATTCATCCACTCATACGGACGACGATTTTCTGGATTATTCCCCCACATGGAATTATTTTTTGGAAAAACAACTTGATATTCTTTTTCTGTGGATTATTACGGACTTATTGAGTACAACTTTTCATGGATTGAACGCGTTTTGGACCGACAGAACCGGCTCAAAGGTAAGAAACGCGTATCTTATTCTTTGTTTATGATGTGAATTTTTAAGTTATAGCGTTTTGGGCTCGTTGTACGGCATAAAATGAATGATATGGTTGTTTTATTGATAAATTAAGCTTTCAAACGATGTATGGCATGCCAGTAGTGAAAACAATAATGAAGGTGAATATACAGAGTGAACATTTTTTATTGGAAAATCGCCCGCCGGCGGGCGGGTGGATGACTTTATAAAGTCACTTTTTTAAATCTATGTTGCGGCCAAATCCTACTAGACCGCTGAGAGTTGCAGGTAAGGAGAAAGTAAGTGACGCGCTCTCTTGTCTCTGGCGTCTGAGTAATCAAATCCAGTCTTAAGATAAAAATAGTCTTTATTGCTTCTTAATTGGCCAAAATTCATTATTATAAAAATAATCTAAAATCGTAAAAAGACGCCAAGCATGGCGGTCAACAAACTGTGTGCTTCACCAGATTGCAACACCTGTGGAGCACAGGTGGGGTCCTCCCTAATGTAGCCTACCACACGGCCCCCTCTACAGGTGAATCACCTGTAGAGGTGATGCACACACAAGACACATGGCTCCAACAATCTATATTAGTCTTTTGATCTGCCACAATAATGTAATAATGAATTTAAATGAAAATACCTCAAATTGAAGGCTTTTCTCAGCAATTTTTAGGTGAGATTAAGATGAGATCAATTAGATTAATTAATTACAGATCATAATTAATTAATCTCTCCATTTTTTTATCGCATGACAGCACTAATTTATATATATATATATATATATATATATATATATATATATATATATATATATATATATATATATATATATATATATATATATATATATATAAAATACAATTCATATTATGTAAAAAAATAATTGCCCAGGCCTTTTCTACAGTGAACACTAGACACTTTGCTATGACCTGCTCTCAGGACACATAGGACTGTACAAGAGGCCAATGATCACATAAAATCTGCCTTGAGCTTTTATATTTTGGAGTGAGGCACCCCCTTGATGGCAGGCATTACAAACTACTACGACCTGCTCATTCATATTACCACGAACTGTGTTAAAACTAGTGCTGTCATGCGATAAAAAAAATTGAGAGATTAATTAATTATGATCTGTAATTAATTAATCTCATTTTAATCTCACCTAAAAATTGCTGAGAAAAGCTTCAATTTGAGGTATTTTCATTTAAATTCATTATTACTTTATTGTGGCAGATCAAAAGACTGATATAGAACAAAAAAAGTGACTTTATAAAGTCATTTATTGTTTAACAAATCTCTCCAAATTGGCTGTTGAGCCCAAGTCTCCATGAATAAGAAACTGTTTGCTGTAAAGTAGCAAAGATGAGGAAATCTGAACATAATAACTTTTGTCTACTTAAAGACAATAAAAAGTCCAGTCTTTCCTTAACCATATTAAAAATATTATTGATAGAGAAATGCTTTATATATGAGATCACTGGTTTTACATGACGTTTACATCGCTCTTACTGCGCGCGTTTTGTGTGGGTTTCCGGCAATGAGTGGAATTACCGAAATAAAAAAATGTATAAATGTGTTTTTGTGTGTGTGTGTTGTTGTCCCAACAACACATAAAAACAGGTTTTATAATAAAGCAACTCGCATACAGAAACACTAAAGTTAGAGATAAAAAATGAGATTAACGCGATTAAAAAACATAACACGCTAAATATGACTGTAATTAATTAATCGCAATTAACGCGATAATTTGACAACCCTAATTAAACCCCCCATGTCTGGTCATATTAGCACCTGTCTTAGCTATGCTAGTGCTAACTGTGGGACCATCACATCATACATAGTCAAACAGCTTTGTCCTCTTGGATGTTGGTTTTGTTTGGGCTCTCTATGTCTAAATGGTTCCTTTCTATCAAGATTGTACATAATCAAGGGTTTATTTATGGGATATTTTCAGCAGCCTAAACAGAGCTAACTTAGGCATGTCTTGTAGCTACACTGGACCAAACCTAAAGTCTGGAGACAGATTTTCATTTCTCTGTTGCAACATCATTGTAATAAAGAAGAAAAATGGAAATGTAAGTACTAGTTGCTCGAGCGCTACCTGTAGCTGTCTTCCCCCTTCCAAGTAGCAGAATATTTAGGAATTATGTTGTGCTGAATAATTCAAGTTTGATTAGTCGTTCATATTGTAAATGTACATATCATATGCCAAACTTTGCGCATTATTAAATGGATAATAGTTTATGTTATAAAGGTATTTAACTGTCACTCGTCTAGATGCTATTTCTTGCAACTGATAACAGGCGTAGCTCTATGACACTTTGATTTAATAAAAATAGCTCCCCAGGGAAAAAAGTTGGTTGACTGCTAGTTAATAATGTATAATCTCCCCATTTAATATCACCTTTTAGTTTGTCTTTTGATAGTTTGGAAACTTCGATGAGAACCATGCAGGTGGTTTATCTTACATAAATATTAGAAGTGTTTTTATTGGCTGAATGGAATCCGGACGGTACAAATAAATATGAGCCCAAGTGTGCAGCTGATCCGGTGTCTTTTCTTCTTCACTGGACCAGTGGGTAAAGGCAGGATGAAGTGGCTGCTTTTGGTGGCTCTTTTTGGGCTGAGTGTGGCCCAACACAACCCTCACCTTAAGAGTGGACGCACCTCCATCGTGCACCTGTTCGAGTGGAGGTGGGCTGATATTGCAGCGGAGTGTGAGCGCTTCCTTGGTCCCAATGGCTTCGGAGGCGTTCAGGTGAGTTTCCATTTTTCACATATAAATATTATGTTAAATTATTTCACAAAACATTTGATATTTATTACAATTAAACCATACCATTAGTATTAGGAATTATAAAGTGTGGAGTAAGACGGTCCAGGCTACACGTTATTGCAGATTGTACAGTACAAGAGTGTCAAGTGTAAGAGTGGAGATGGAAATTGGGCTGGTGTTGGTCAAAGAAGCAGAGGACCAATGCATTTGTACCAGTTGGTAGGTGACCACGGTTCGAGATTTTTATAATTTTTATCACAGAAAACCACAAACACTGCATAGTTTTGAAGTAAAATTCAAAACCGAAAATGTAATACTCCACAAAAAAAGAGCTGTTTTACAATAGTGCGGATTGGAAAAAGAATGAAATAGAGTCATGCAGTTAAATTAGAAGTTGAAGAATTTGCCAAATGTAGTTGAGATGTAAAGTAAGAAAAGAAAGAGGTTCTGGACTGACTCTGAAGTGATCCAGAGTATTCATCGAGGTGAAAAAGTGATTGGGGCAGAAGGGGAGTAGAAGAGAAGCTGTGGTATTGCATATGGAAGTCTGGAGTTGGCGATAACTTATTCAGACTAATGCAGGGTATTTATAATGGTTTTAAGGCAGTGGTGAGGTATGGTAGGTCTGACAAAGGATTAGAAGTTGTTAAGTAGATGTGCATCTAAGATCGGCAGTGGGCCCCTTCTTGTTTGCTGGTAAAAAATAACAGGTAAAAAGATGAGTATGGAGCGAGATTACTAGAATTGCAGGTTTATTTTGGAATTGAGTGACTTGTTCACACACACAACTACATAAAAGTGCTACTTCACTAGTGTAACATAACTTAAAATAAACAATATATTTTAGACTCACTAAAGTTTAGATATTGCAATGAAAGTGCTATCCATGGCACACAGCACCTTTTCCAATTCTCCTGAGCTATTCAGATTTCCAACTCTCCGCTCATTTTCTCCTGTCAGATTTCTCCTCCCAGTGAGCACATTATCTTGAGCAACCCCTGGAGGCCCTGGTATCAGCGCTACCAGCCAATTGGCTACAAACTCTGCTCCCGATCAGGAAGTGAGACCGAGCTTCGTGACATGATCACCAGATGCAACAATGTTGGGGTAAATTAAATGATTTAAAGTCCAGATCTTATTTGTTTGTTTATTATAGTCAGATATAATATATTAATATTAAAACAGGAAAAAAATGAATTATTGAAAAAGCTAGAAAGTGTAACAAAAGTGGACACATTTTACATCTCTCTTTATAGGTGAACATCTACGTAGATGTTGTGATTAACCACATGTGCGGCTCTGGAGGCGGAGAGGGCACCCACTCCTCCTGTGGGAGCTGGTTCAGTGCTCCCCGTGAAGACTTCCCCAGTGTTCCCTACTCCAGCTTGGACTTCAACGACAACAAGTGCCACACAAGCAATGGTGAAATTCAGAACTACAACGACCCCAACCAGGTAACAACATCAACCTTACCATGTAGTGAACATCGTTTTGAATACCAGATTGTGCATGGTCTCCCTGTATCTTCAATGGTTGTAATTGTATGTTTCCCACAGGTCCGTAACTGCCGTCTGGTGGGTCTGCTGGACCTTGCTCTGGAGAAGGACTATGTCAGGGGTAAAGTGGCGGAGTACATGAATAAGCTTGTTGACATGGGCGTGGCTGGGTTCAGAGTGGATGCCTGTAAACACATGTGGCCTGGAGACCTGCAGAATGTGTACGGACGCCTCCACAACCTCAACACCAAGTGGTTCTCCAGTGGATCCAGACCTTTCATCTACCAGGAGGTACTTATCTCCTCTCTACTCACATAGGAATGACTCTGTGGGATAAGGACACCTAATCTTGCATAAACATATATCTGTCCGGCCTGCATTAAAATTGTGTAAAATGGTGGTGGAGGTTTAACTTTGCAAAACATTTTATAGAAATTAATGGTTAAGGATGTTACTTTCGAAAGTTGTGGGAATTAGCACACAGATTGCAAGATGAAGTTTATCTTACTTACCAATATAAATAAAGCAAGACATTGCATAGAAACTCTTGTATTTGACTACCACCCCTTTTGGTTTGGAGTTAACAATAATGAACAAACATTTTCCTTGTAGGTTATTGATCTGGGCGGAGAGGCCATCTCTGCCAGCGAGTATTTCCACTTGGGCCGAGTCACAGAGTTCAAATATGGTGCCAAACTGGGAAATGTGATCAGGAAGTGGAACGGAGAGAAACTCAGCTACACCAGGTATGTAATTTACCATGAAAATAATAGACCATCAGTGTTTGGCCTACAAAAAGTCAATGATGAAAAAAAGTGTATGTTCATGTATTTATTAAAAACTTTTAAATAAACAGTTTTTCTACATAAACCTGCTTCCTTGTTGTCTTGTGGTCAGGAACTGGGGAGAGGGCTGGGGTTTCATGCCCAACGGAGATGCTCTTGTGTTTGTGGATAACCATGACAACCAGAGAGGACATGGAGCGGGCGGAGCTTCCATTGTCACCTTCTGGGATCCTCGTCTCTACAAGATGGCCACCGCTTACATGCTGGCCCACCCCTATGGCGTCACAAGGGTCATGTCCAGCTACAGATGGGATCGTAACTTTGTCAATGGAAAGGTCTGTCTCTCTCCCTGAATACCTTCTGTACACATTAGTATAACTACCTAGAACGCAGATGGAACCTTATCATTTTGAAGTAATGCCTTGTAAACAAATTGCACCTGCTGAAATGCATGTGTTTTTTTCAAATAGGATCAGAATGACTGGATTGGACCTCCCAGCTACAGTGACGGATCCACCAAACCTGTTACCATCAACGCTGACCAGACCTGTGGAAATGGCTGGGTGTGTGAGCACAGATGGAGGCAGATCAAGTAAGTGTATATCAGAGGCCTCAGAGTTTGAGAGATCTGTGTAGTTTCTTTGTTGTTCCTAGTACTGCATTTTTCTGGACTGAGATGTCTGATGTTATTCCTGGGATCTGCTGTAACCACTCCTCCAGTTTGGGGATTACAGCCCCTTCAATCACCACGAGCACATATATATATAACATAAATAATATTCTTACTGGTCACTAATATTTAATAAGGCAAGGCAAAGCAAGTTTCTTTGTATAGTACAATTTGTACACAAAGTAATTCAAAGTGCTGAATATGAAACACATTAAAATGTTAATATGCTATGAGTTAGTGTTATCTCTCTCTCTCAGGAACATGGTGAAATTCCGTAATGTGGTGAATGGACAGCCTCACTCAAACTGGTGGGACAACCAGAGCAACCAGGTCGCCTTTGGACGTGGCAACCGCGGATTCATCATCTTCAACAATGATGACTGGTGAGACCTCCATATTTCATGGAGCAGTATGGTCGTGGTTTTGAACAGATCTATTGTGCGTATGCGTAGTTCTTTTCATTAAGCACAAAAACTAAATGTGTGGCCAAAGAATCATTAAACACACAAACGTCACAGTATTCATTTATTTGAATTTCAATAGTGGATTTCCCCATGAAACACCTTTATCCCCCCTTCTCTTCACACTTCCTACATCTGACTTTGTTTATGTTGTTGACTGAACAAAAATATAAAACCATCTATGATTTTGCACGTAAAGGTATTGACTAAATACATCTGAAAGCAACGAAATTATGGTGGACTTAATCAAGCTGTACTCATCTACTTACCTGTACATTTTTTTTAAAATCTCCAGCAACAAAATGCTCTAGGCTTGACGTTGAAGTTATTGTATTCTACTCTAATGTGCCTTGTGATACTTTCAGGGCCCTTGACGTGACCCTGCAAACTGGCATGCCCGGAGGAACATACTGTGACGTGATTTCGGGTCAGAAGGAGAACGGCAGGTGCACAGGCAAACAGATCCAGGTGGGATCAGATGGACGCGCCAACTTCAAAATCAGCAACCAGGATGAAGACCCGTTTGTGGCCATTCACGCCGAGTCCAAGCTGTGAACGACATCGTGTTTTCACCCACATAATCTCACATAACCTAATATCACATAATCTTTTTGAACATTAACATGTCCAGAGATGTATAGCCCAAAGCAATAGTCATATTGAAGCCACATTATCTATTGTCAATTTGTTTGTAAATGTGATTAATCGAATAAAGCATCCCTATACAAGACATTGTTTACTTTCTTGAACATTTTCAGTGTAAATCACACATTGACACTGTAAATTAACACTGTAAATACTGTAGTAACACTTAATAATAACTACACCTCCATTTGCCTTAATAAAACAAAAAGGAAGACTTAAGAAAAATGTATTAATTCCTAATGACCGAATACTTCATTAAGAATTCAGGTTTTATAACTACTTAATTAATAGCCAAACACTAACTTCTTACTTAACTTTCTAATCCTGACCTTACAAGTCTTTTTTTTACCTTGGGTCATTTAGGGTTTTGCTGTGTGGACAGTTAAATTATAGGGTCAGACCCCACCTCCTCCTCTTGAAACATATACAAATATTGTGTTTCACAACCATGAGATAAGTCTCAAGTAAAGACCTGAGTACTACACTGGGCCTATGCAACGTGTAGTAGTATGCGCAAAATAATTACATTGTAAAAGGTTTAAACAAACTAAGAAAGTAATCTTGCATGATGTCAGTGTTTTAAACTCCTCAAAGATTCATTATTTCAGAAATGTTACACTAACCTCTGTTCAATAATCTCTGGAAAGACCCATGTGGCAACTTCAGGTGTACAGTGTATTTATTTAAAAAATGAACTGAATAGAAACTTTTAAACTTAAAATCCCCTGTGCACTCATTTTACATTCTTTGATTCCAGTTTCAAACAGAGTAGACAGAGATGACTTTACTGTCACCAGTAAAGGTCACCACTGTAAAAACAGGAATTGTAACTTTCCTTTATAATGCATTAGTTCTCTCATATCAAGACACTGCACTTACATCACAACCTTTTAGTTTGGTATAGTTTGGTAACCTCTGTGAGAATGGTGCAACTGTTTACAGCTGGTCTACTCCTTATAGATATTTGTTGTCTCCTGATTGGCTGAAAGCAGAATGTATATCTGTATATAAGCGTGGCTGTGTGGTAGATCCAGCATCTTCTCTTCCCTCTTGGACCAGTGGGTACAGACAAGATGAAGTGGCTGATTTTGGTGGCTCTTTTTGGGCTGAGTGCAGCTTATCACAACCCTCACATGAAGCATGGACGCACCTCCATTGTGCACCTGTTCGAGTGGAGGTGGGCCGACATCGCGGCAGAGTGTGAGCGCTACCTCGGGCCCAATGGCTTCGGAGGTGTTCAGGTGGGTCTATTATAAATATAGACTATATATAAATGGACATAGCTAACCCACTAGCTGCTATTTATTTTGCTATTTTGTCAGTAAATAAATTCCTATTCCTAACATGGGAGCTGGCTCCAAATTTTCTCCCGCAAGCTTTGATGAGCTTCATTTGACTGGTGCCGAATGCTATGGGTGATGTCACACTCCCTTAGTCAGCTTTTATATACAGTGTGTTTATAAAGTAGTTGTAATGGTTGGTTTCCAAAAAAGTTTCAAACAACATTTAAATCGTGAAAATAATAATGATAACATTACTTCAAAATAGTATTACTCAAGTAGAAGTAAAAGGATATGTGGGAAAATTACTGCTCAATTAAGACTAACATAAAGAATAACAGTCTGAATGTAACATCTGATTTATAATTTAAAGTTATTGTAATTAGAAGGTCTGATATTTTCAAAGAATAGACACAAAAAAACCTACAACATCTGAAGGAGCAGTGCAAGAAACACTCAAATCACTTCAAATCATTTCACATTGACAATATAAAGCTTTTGTCACTTAGACTTACTCTCAGTAGAAAGAATAACCCAAACTTTTAGAGTACTCCTACTTCAATAAAAATATTTTTGAAGTAGGAGTAAAAATATGCTGCTAGAACATTTCTTTAAAAAGTTACTCAAGTAAAATGTGATTACAACCCACCTCTTTCAAATTCAAATAATAATTGAGTAAGCTGCACTATGTAAATTTAATATTTCTCTGTACTTCTTAAGAATAAATGCTCCTATTTTTACAGCAAAAAATGTTATAACAAATAGCATTCTTCTATAGACCGATCATACACGGTAGATGAACCATGAAAATACAATGCAATGCACACATCTATTGTAAATTAATCTGTCTTTTAGCAATCATAATGGAGATAGATACTTCAAAATGAAATCAGACTAATAATATGTTTTATGTTGGTAAATTCTAATATTTGAAATTTGTTTTTCTCAGATCTCCCCTCCCAATGAGCACATCATCATCAACAACCCCTGGAGGCCCTGGTGGCAGCGTTATCAGCCAATCGGATACAACCTCTGCTCCCGATCAGGAAATGAGCATGAGCTCCGCGACATGATCACCAGATGCAACAACGTCGGGGTAAACTGACATCTTCATGAATTACATAAATATAAACTATGATCAAATAAAATAAAGTAAATAAATAAATACAATTACAAGTTTTAAAATGCCCTGGCCCTTCTTAGGTGAACATCTATGTGGATGCTGTGATCAACCACATGTGCGGTGCTGGAGGTGGAGAGGGCACCCACTCCTCCTGCGGCAGCTGGTTCAGTGCCAACAGAAAGGACTTCCCCTCCATCCCCTTCACTGGCTGGGACTTCAATGACCACAAGTGCAGGACTGGCAGCGGCAACATTGAGAACTATGGAGATGCCAATCAGGTGAAAATATTGGCAGATTTAAAAAATATATGGTTTCATAATGATAAAAAAGTGTAACCTAGAATAAATTAAATGGGATGAGCCATATCAAAAAAAAAAAAAAAACTCCATCTTGTCCAGTGGCATTCAGCATGCTCTTTTGAAACAAACTATATAATAATGTACAGATATAAATGTGAGTATAGCTTTTACTTGTTGGCTCTAGATTGTAGTTCTTGAAAAAGTGATATTTACAAAAAAAAAAAAAAAAAAGTGCATGCTAAAAATCCAGTTGTGCAAATCAACACATCCCTTTGGTCAAAGAGTTTATCAGAGATTATCAAATATCATATAAACAAAGATATCCGATGCATTTCTCCCCAGGTCCGTGACTGCCGTCTGGTGGGTCTGCTGGATCTTGCTCTGGAGAAGGACTACGTCAGGGGTAAAGTGGCGGACTTCATGAATAAGCTGATTGACATGGGCGTGGCTGGGTTCAGAGTGGATGCCTGTAAACACATGTGGCCCGGAGACCTGCAGAATATCTACGGACGCCTCCACAACCTCAACACCAAGTGGTTCTCTGGTGGATCCAGACCTTTCATCTACCAGGAGGTACTGCTGACATTATATGGACAAACATGAGCTCCTATATGCACATTAATTTAAATCTGTCCACTGCCAACTTCTGATAGGCCTACATAATTCCATTAATGAGATAATTAATAAACCTTCATAGAGTCAAGTGGGTTGTAAGACCTGACAAAATTACTTTTCAGGTCTTTGGAGAGGCAGCGGCAGCATGACACATTTCCTGTCAGTTAAATTGGAGTTTACTATTCACTTTTATTCAAGTTAATCACTAACAGAACCTCTCATGTTGTCTTGGACATTTTGTCAAAGCGAGAGCTGATGTAAACTCTGGTTAATGGTTGACAGGGTTGGGGAGATGTGGGAATTTTGAGAGTAGACACAATATGGCATGCAAAAAATGTCAACAAAAACAAAAGCTATGTGTTCAGGCTTTAGTTTTCACAAGTAATAACAAACAGTATCAGCTGAATGCATGTGTTGGCTACAATTTAGACCTAAGTCCTAAATACTAAATGAGCATGTGAAACACTTTATATACATACATTAATACATTTATATTTGGTATTTCTCTACAGGTCATTGATCTGGGAGGCGAGCCTATCACCTCCAGGGAGTACTTCCACCTGGGACGCATCACTGAGTTCAAATATGGCGCCAGACTGGGAACTTTGTTTAGGAAGTGGAATGGAGAGAAACTCAGCTACACCAAGTATGTGCTTGTACTACCATCAACTAATCAACCAGTCTATACAACACCTTAAATATCTCTGTCATTTGAATATGTTGAAACACCCTCCAATAATCATTTAGCAAATAAGCAACACTTTTAAACCCATTTTTATCTGTGATTTTGTGGTCAGGAACTGGGGAGAGGGCTGGGGTTTCATGCCCAATGGAAACGCCTTGGTGTTCGTGGATAACCATGACAATCAGAGAGGTCACGGAGCGGGTGGAGCGTCCATCGTCACTTTCTGGGATTCCAGACTGTACAAGATGGCCGTCGGGTACATGCTGGCCCACCCCTACGGAGTCACCAGAGTCATGTCCAGCTTCAGATGGGACCGTCACTTTGTCAATGGAAAAGTATGGTCCATTTAAATAGTATAAAAGACCAAAACATAAGAGAATAGTATTCATAGGTACATTCTGAATGGTTTCAATGGATTCAGAACCAAATTTGTCCCTTAAGGCAATACATGCAAGATAATACAAATACAATCAATCTGATGCCCAGCCCGATTTGGTGCAAATTTGATAAATTACTCAAATTGAGGACTGACAGTTTTAAATAGCTGGTTCAGGAGGGATGTGGTGATATACTGCTGTTTGCCAAGGTAATGTGCAAACTTCTGCTGCTATAAACAAGCCTAAACTGTTATATTTCTTACATTTTATTTATTTTATTATTATTAGGCTAGTAGAAAGTTATTGCTAATATGTTAACCACAACTCAAGCCATTTTCCTAGATCAAACCTAAAATGCTTCTTAAACAAAAAACATTAACCACCAGTTTCCCAATCTTAAATATAACCACCCTATTTCTCATGTTCATGCATCTGTTCTAGGATCAGAATGACTGGATGGGACCTCCCAGCCATGGAGATGGATCTACCAAATCTGTTCCCATCAACGCTGACCAGACCTGTGGAGACGGCTGGGTGTGTGAGCACAGATGGAGGCAGATCAAGTAAGTCATCACTGTGCAACTCTTTGATTCACCACATCCTCGTTTGGGTTAAAGGTTATTTAGTTATTGTTATTTTGTCTTATTCCTCTCTCAGGAACATGGTGAAGTTCCGTAATGTGGTGAATGGACAGCCTCACTCAAACTGGTGGGACAACCAGAGCAACCAGGTCGCCTTTGGACGTGGCAACCGCGGATTCATCGTCTTCAACAATGACGACTGGTGAGACTTTTCTTGTTTAGCTGCCCCTCAATTAACTTGTACGTATTTATTTATTTTCCAACCCTCTTTGAGTAATTCATGGTTACTGTGCTCAATCAAACATACTCATGTAATATCATAATACAGAACATGTCACCTTGACTTTAAGCATTGATTGGCCTATATTGTTAGCCTTGCCAGCAAGATAAATTCTCAAGATTTTTGTGTGTTCACAAACTCTTGAGAATCTGTCTTGTTCAGCTCCGGCTGAAGTGTTGCATGTGATAAGTTGCGTCACACAGCAGCAGTGTGGTTTGAGCAGAAGCCAGCACTGAACAAACCAAAACAACCAGGGCTACACGAGAAACAGACTTCAGCCTATTTTAGTGGAAATACAGACAATTTTGCATTGAAAAACATGCAAAGGGAATCACTTTGTGCATTTGTGGACAGAGAAGATGTCTGTGCTTTTCTCTCAACTGGATGTAACAAAAATATAATTATTTAGCTTGTTCCACTGTTGTGACCAATCAACATGAAGTGTAAAGATTTGTTTGAACGATCCAGTCAGTGAGATTTATCTGTACAACATGAAGTTGTACAGATAAATCTCAGTGAAATTGGGCTACTCATCAGCTGAGAGTCAATGAGTTGGTGAAACATATTCATATCTTTTCATCCATACTGAGGGAAAATAAATAATGAAAAAAAGTTGTCATGTGTTGTTGTAATTCATGTTATTGACATATGAAAATGTAATGTAAAATGAAAATGGTCTGTTTAAAGTGATACAGCAGGAACAATGCAGCCCCTCCTTCTGTTTGCTTAACTCTTGTCTCATGTTCCCCTCAGGAACCTTGACATGACCCTGAACACTGGCATGCCCGGAGGAACATACTGTGACGTGATCTCAGGTCAGAAGGAGAACGGCAGGTGCACAGGCAAACAGATCCATGTGGGAGGAGACGGTCGCGCCCACTTCAAAATCAGCAACCGCGACGAGGATCCATTTGTGGCCATTCATGCCGAGTCCAAGTTGTGAACGACATCATGTTTTTACCCACAATAAAGCTCGATCTCATATTCAGAGCTTAATGTAACACTCTTCAATAATGCAGTACTATTGGGTTTGTTTTCATGTACATTTGACAAAAGTAAATAAAGTTGCTCTGTGCACCACTACCAAGTTATGTGTGTGTGTTTGTGGACCTTTTACTGCCTGTAACTTTTAACTGTAACTGTAACCTGTAACTGTAACTTGGGCATAGCAAGTTGCAAAGACTTAGTTTTTCTGTTGCGGTCTATGTAAAAGTTAAAATATAGATGCAAAGATGATAAATTACATCCTATTAAAAAAAATAATAATAATAAAATAATAATAATACAAAAAAAAAAAATTATAATAATACAAAAAAAACTAAATAATAATAACATTTTTTAAAAAGCCAGCCAAAAAAGTAAATAAAGTAAATAAAGTGAGTCAAAAAACAACAACAACAACAACAAAACTACAAAAAACAAAACAAAACATATAAATAATAACATTAAAACAAAAAATAACGAAATAATTCAGAATAAAGATAAACTTCTTATTTACAAAGTGGTAAAGTTTACATTTAGAGGACAAAAATAAAGCTACATTGTTCAGTTTATGAATTACTGTGAATATGTTCTCCAACTCTCCACCAGATGGCACTGCAGCAGAGTTTTGTATGACTTTTTTTTTATTTTTATTTTTTTACCCTGGATCATTTAGGGTTTTTCTGTGCGGTCACTGTCGTCCAAAGTCAAACTAAAGATTTGTGCCCCATCTGCTTCCCATGCCTCACTCCATCTCCCTCTCTTCCTAACTTTTCTCTCTTTCTCTTTGCCCACTTCTCTTTCTCCCTCCCAACCTCCCATCTCTATCTTCAACTTCCTCCTTTTTGCTTTCTATCCTCCCTCTCTCTGTCTTTTACTCCTGCTTTTTCCCTTTCTCTCTCTCCCCCTCTTCCTTCTCTTTCTGTCTCTCCAGCATTCCTTCTCTTCTCTCTCTCATTTCTTCCCTCCTCTCTCTGTGTCTTTCCCATCTCCCTTCATCCTTCTTCCTCTGCCCTTCTGCTTTCTCTTCTTTTCTTTTTGTTCATGTTTCTCTTCCGCTTTAACTCCCGAATGTTCTCTCTCTTTTTCTCTTCCTAGGCCAGGTCACCCCAAGCCCACCCTCCTCTTCTCACTCCATCCCTCCATCTTGATCACTTCCCGTCCCGTACGTGTGGAGAGGGAAACGGAGACGATACGAGACTCAGAGTTTGGATCTTTGTTGTCATAGTAACACAGGAACAGACGCCGACAGAGCAGATTTGGTAAAGCCTCCGAAACAATAGAAACATGAGTATTGGAAAATAGAAATCAGATAAAATGAAAATGAGAAATGAATGAGAAATGCCAGAGTGGATTGATGAAACTCACAAAATCAGATGTTCTAGTGCACTGTTAAGTTGGCAATCATAAAATTTTAAATCTTTCAAAGCCCAATGCTGATTAAAAAAATAAATACATACTGTATTTTTTGGACTATAAGTCAGAGCTTATAAGTCGCAGCAGCCAAAAAATGCATAATGAAAAAACAAAACATAAGTCACACTGCACTTTTTTGGGGAAAAGTATTTTTACAGTTTTTTTTTAAACTGTTAACGTCACATATGAACGGTTTTTCAGATAACTATAAACAACAAAACAGAACAAGTTTACCAAACTCTTCATCTCACTCCAAATCACTAAATCCATTCAATTCTTCATCCTCAGTGTCACTTCTGAGGAACTCCACGACCTCCGGAAGTAAACAGAGCACCGGTTTCTCTTCTGCATGGATGTCGACTCAGCAGAAAAATAAAATAAGAGATAAATAAAACCATTGAACAGCAATAAATAAATAACGCCAATTAAATACTATTAAAAATAATAAAAGACACAGGGGACAACACAAGGAGAACTCATGCAGTGTTAAAAGCCAGAGAATAAAAGTGGGCCTTAAGACGAGACGTAAAACTCTCCACTGTGGGGGCTCTTCGGATGTGGGGGGAGCAGAGTGTTCCAGAGCTTGGGGCCGGCCACAGAGAAGACCCTGTCCCCCTGGTTTTAAGTCTCGTCTTAGGCACCACGAGCTTTGAGATGGTTCCTCGGACGGGAATGTAAATTTGAAGCTTTTCTGGAGAAATTTTGTTCTTCTCGCAAACAGAAAACCAGGCCCTGTCTCCCCTGGTTTTAAGTCTCGTCTTAAGCACCACGAGCTTTGAGATGGTTCCTCGGACGGGAATGTAAATTTGGAGTTTTTTTTGGAGGAATTTAGGCTGAGCTCTTCTCTCAACCACTCTGTTCCACCTTGTGTTGTCTCCACTATGTTTTTTGACTCCACGCACCTTCACTAGAATCATTTGGCTAATCATTTGCAACCGTGGAAATCTCTCTACAGTCTCTACTGAAAAAAGGTAACTGTTAACTAGAGAACTAAAGCTTCGTGATGCCTCAGACATGTGTGAATGAAACAAAACACAACTCCAGGTATGTTTTCCAGGAGGCAACAACATTCTGACATGACTTAGAGCTCACAAGAGTAAATTATGCGTAATACAGGACGCAAACATCACTGTGAGTGCATTGTATTTCACGTCAGACCGGATGATGTCACCTCACCTTGCTCTAGCATAGGTGCCATAGAGGACCGTAGCCTTGGACATATTGCAGGTGTTAAATTATTGAACGCTCCATCTCGCGGTCCGTGCGCTGTTGGCTCTGCTCGCCGCGATTAGCCAGAGACGTGAGAGGAGAGGAGGACTGATGCTTCGTGATGCTTCGTGACACCCGAGCCACCGCCAGGCCCTCGCTGTCCCCCGTCTCCTTCATTTTTCATACAGCCCCAACCTGCACCAACCTGCCTGTCACATCACAACTCACTCACAGCTCAGGGACATGTGAGCTCAAGGAGGGCAGGTGGATTTTTGTAGCAGAAATAATAAATAAAGAACTCTGTTAAAAAAAAAAAAAAAAGAGGGCTTCACTTATGTACAAACTGCTAACACATCACATATTTAGATCGACATTTTAGCTTTTATTGTTTTAAAAATGCCATATTCACCGACAACAACATAAACTACAGCACATTGCGTCAGGTTTGTGAAGCTGTAGCAAATTGTTGTGAATTGTGAGAATAGTCGTGGGTGACGTCAGCTTGTGGGCGGAGAACTGGACATAATCTTTTGGTAACACTTTATTTTAGGGTGCACTTATTAACATTTAACTATCCACTAAGTAGTATAATTGTAAATGTTTTATTTGCCATTCATTAGTATTTATTTAGCCCTTATTAATGTCTAATTCCCCATAAGCTTATTCTGCTATCAGTTAGACATTTACAAACACTTTCCCATAAATACACTCCTTATTACTGCTTATTAAAATGATACTAGGCCAGTTTTGTCCATGAATTACATTTCTGAAAAGCGAAGTAAAAACAAAATTTCTTGTGCTACTAGTCTTTAACAACTAGTCTGATTCGTCAGCCGGTTTCACTTCGTAGAAACCGTCTGACCTCGCACCATTAGGATTCATTCGCTCGACGGTCGCTGCTATTTGGTCTTGATTAGGGGTGTAACGATTTCCAAGTCTCACGATACGGTATCGTCACGGTATGAACCTCACGGCACGGTATTTATTGCGATATTGTGGGATTGTTCATGATATGTTAGGGAGGCTCACGATTAGGGATGTAACAATATCCAAATCTCATGGTATGATATTTTCACGACATACATCTCACGGTATGATATTTATTGCAATATTTCTACACTGAAATGGAGCAAAGGATCATGGTCTATGTAGTTCCCTCTGTCTTTTATTTTTATTTTTTATAGCTATTGCTGCACCGTAACTCTTAATTTAAGCAAAGAGACTTATAATTCGATATATTGTGAGAATTCTGACGATATGATATCACAATATTTTGGTTATTGTTACATCCCCAGTCATGATGTATGTAATGCGCTGCTAACGGGGCTAACTGATATATTAAGCTTTTCCCAAATCCCGTAGGAAGAAGGTCAATATCGTCTTTCCTCTTGATAAAATTCGCCAAACATTCTCTTTATTCCGGCTTTAAATCCTCGATCTCGGGAATCGTTGCCAACACAGAATGTATGGCTCTTTGCTGATTGGCTGGTGCCCGAACTCGCACTTCTGGGGATTTTGCGAACCGTCTAGTGCATTCTGATTCCTGACCTAGTTCGCTGGAGAGAAATGAAATTGAGCGGAGGCACTAGGCGGCACCAGCCTCGCTACTTATCGACACCCTTATTACCACTTGTTAAAACCATAATTCATATACAAAAATGGCTCAGTATCATACTTATAAACAGTAATAAGGAGTGTATTAATAGGAAAGTGTCTGTAAATGTCTAACTAATATCAGAATAAGCTTATGGGGAATTAGACATTAATAAGGAGTGAATAAATACAAATTAATGGCAAATTAACCATCTATAACTATGCTAATTAGCAGGTTAATAAGTGTACTCTAAAATAAAGTGTTATCAATCTTTCTGCTAAGTGTAAAGAGGGCTCGAGTAGGGTCTGGGAGAGATCGTTAAATTCCTCAAACATGCATAATTGATATAAAGATGATATGATGTATAAAAACTTCTTCAGGCATGTTTTTGATGAGGGAACAATGTTATAACATGGAAGAAAACTCCAAAAAGATGTTTTTTTTTCTTATACTCCCTCTTCAACTTTCAACTTTCAGGTTTATTATTGTCCAAGAGAGAAATTATTGTGTCATACAGTAGACACAGAATACAATTAAATAATAAACTAAACCAGAGCTTAAGCTTAGCTCAACAACGTACATTCCTTTAAAAATAGGCAAAAAAAAAAAGAGAAACACCACGGCTGATCCAAGCTATAAGAGAGCATTCATTTTACTTATGGCATCAGAAAAGGAAAGGAACTCTGATCTTTCTGAGTTCTGATTCAGTCCATTCTCAGACGCCGCCCAGAAGGAAGGAGGTT